TATTGTATACCTGGAGAAATATACCCTACTGTATTGTATACCTGGAGAAGTATACCCTACTCTAACGTATACCTGGAGAAGTATACCCTACTCTATTGTATACCTGGAGAAGTATACCCTACTGTATTGTATACCTGGAGAAGTATACCCTACTCTATTGTATACCTGGAGAAATATACCCTACTGTATTGTATACTTGGAGAAGTATATTATACTGTATTGTATACCTGGAGAAGTATAGCCTACTCTATTGTATACCTGGAGAAGTATACCCTACTCTATTGTATACCTGTAGAAGTATACCCTACTCTATTGTATACCTGGAGAAATATACCCTACTCTATTGTATACCTGGAGAAGTATACCCTAATTTATTGTATACCTGGAGAATAGATAAGAATAGTATTCCGGCATAAAAGCTCCGACCAGGGATCCGGAAGAAGAAATGATGATTGCAATCAGGAGAGCAATTTTCCTAAATCATTTATTCATTATTTATAATTTATACTATATACTATACACTTACAGATCGGAACTTTTTGTGTTTATAATATTGTTAATCTTGAACGCTCGACCTCGATATCCATTATAGACACTTTTAAATTTTAGGATCAATGCTGAATCTCTCAATCAAAGTTATCCCTGCAGGATATGACCATTACGGGATATTGAAGAGGAATTGGATTTATCCATAGATCTGTACATAGGATGGAGATCAATAAATGATCCCAAGATTCACAACATCAAGGAAACATTAATTCCTTGAAAATTGGTAAAAATATATGAAAAATATATGAAAAATATATGAAAAATCTATGAGAAATATATGAAAAATCTATGAAAAATATATGAAAAATATATGAAAAATATATGAAAAATATATGAAAAATATATGAAAAATATATGAAAAATATATGAAAAATATATGAAAATATATGAAAAATATATGAAAAATATATGAAAAATATATGAAAAATATATGAAAAATATATGAAAAATATATGTAAAATATATGAAAAATATATGAAAAATATATAAAAATATTATGAAAAATATATGCATTATTTAAAACTTGTTTTGCTTAGAACCAACCAACCTGCCAAATTTATCTGCTAAGAATCCACAAAGAAAGCTTCCAACCATTAAACCGAACATGTATGCACTACCAACCCAAGCAACCTTCCACCCCTCCCCACAGACAAGATTCAGCTCTGTCACCAGGGTATCCTAGGTATACAACTACATGGAGAATTAAGAAACCTTCCACCCCTCCCCATAGACAAGATTCAGCTCTGTCACCAGGGTATCCTAGGTATACAGAAATAAGAAACCTTCCACCCCTCCCCACAGACAAGATTCAGCTCTGTCACCAGGGTATCCTAGGTATACACAACTACATGGAGAAATAAGAAACCCTCCACCCCTCCCCAGACAAGATTCAGCTCTGTCACCAGGGTATCCTAGGTATACAACTACATGGAGAAATGAGAAACCCTCCACCCCTCCCCAGACAAGATTCAGCTCTGTCACCAGGGTATCCTAGGTATACAACTACATGGAGAAATAAGAAATGAAGAGTTAATGTACAGGGTTACTTTAGAGAAGATTGTGCGAAATTTTAGTTACTCTTTGCTGGCCTAAATGGTTCCATACATATGTCAACTTGTTTTTTTTATAAAATAGATAGAAAGATAGATAGATAGACATATCTCGGCTTAAATCATAAAAATATATTTGGGATTTTGACTGCCCCTCCAAAGTTTATACATACTTTAAATTAAAAATAACTAATAGATACATAATACACAGCACAAAATAATTTTAAAAGAAAAGAAAAAAGTTGGAAGTAAACAAAAAGAGATGAATTTTTAGGACAGGCAAAGTATGGTTGTATTTTCAGAGGGGATTAATTTATTTAACTTTTTTTTAGAAAGTGTCCTTTCCGGCAACACCATGATTGTTCTACTTTTCACAAAATTTTTAAAAATATTTTTACAATGAATTTACAAGAGAACGAGTAGAGGGGTTTCAAAGATAATGAATTTGTATGCCAAATAAGAATAAAAAAGATAAAAATATGTTCTAAACTCTGAAGAAAAAAAATTTTTGAAATTAAAAATACTTTAAACTCAAATTCTCCATAAGCAAACTTGGCTCCATCGGGACAACTGAAAATAAATAAATATAAATATTTGTTTTGGTTTCAATTAAAAAACCTTTTGGTTTTAGGGAATGTTTAACACCAGAGGTAACACAAAATCTTTATTTCAACACTTTTCTTTTAACAATTATTTAAAATATTCTTGGAGATTTCTTAACCTTATGAAAGGTATGAAAGGATCTTCATTATTGAAGGAGCAGGACCCATCAACAGGATTAATAGTTGGGGTTTTGTAAAAACAGTAATCATAATCTCCATCCTCATCTCTTCATACCAAACCTTATTTTAACCAATCTAGGACGAAAACGTAAATATTGACGTCAAAAAAAAGAAATTTTTGGACGATATTTTGTGACTTTGTGATTGATTGGTCCCTTTTATGGGATTACAGCAATAATATCACGGAGAGAACATTTTATTGTTAGCGAAGGCATCTTCATGAACTAATTTGTTACTTAAAATTTATTTACCCAATTGCGCGAAATTTGACAAGTTCTACATTTATAAAAAGCCCTTGACGCCGCGATTTCAAATATGCAAAAATATTTGCAAAATTTGCGAAACCTAAATGTCTATTCAAGAAAAGCTAAAATTGTGCAATTTCCCTTTAAAGGTCTAAATTTAGATTTAGTCTGGTAAAAGTAAAATTAGGCATTCAGGCAGTATGCTTGAGGACTCAGGCAGCGGGTATGAAAGCCCATCTTTTAACCTAAAGTATGGGACATGTAATAGTTAGAAAAACCCAAAAATTTGAACAGCCTCAGACCAATGATTTTTGAGTTATCGCAAAAAATCTATCCATCGCCAAAATCCAGATCTTTAATGTTTATGTTGAATAATATGTTTAATGTTTATGTTGAATATTATGTTTAATGTTTATGTTGAATAATATGTTTAATGTTTATGTTGAATAATATGTTTAATGTTTATGTTGAATAATATGTTTAATGTTTATGTTTAATATGGATTCCTAGGAAATATATCTGAAGGACTGTAATCTGTAAATGTAAAGTTGTCTAGGTCGCATTCTGGTATCTGGCAACGGAACTTCTCAGGGATAAAACCTTGAAAGAAAATATAAAATATTAAATTATCAAAATAATTGAAAAGCAGAAAAAAGAAGAGTGAAGAAAGATGAAAGAAGAAAAAAAAGAGAAAAATCGAAAGAAAAAAATTCCGGAGAAAAAAGAATAAAAAACAAAAAACAAGGAATTGAAGGAACTTGAGATATAAGACAGAGTAGAATTAATAGAAAGAAGTCGGCGAAAATGAAAAAATGCTGATATTGGTAAAAAAAACAATCTATGAAAAATTTGAAAAAAAAATTTGAAAATAACAATGACAAAGGTAGGAAGGGTGGATATTAGACCATTAGGTATTAATAAATCTGAACTGTTAGCACCAAGGTTTATATTATATATACACCCTTGGATAGCATACACTTGTTAAATCAACAATAGATTTAGGTAATATGGTTTTTGATAATTTGCCGATTTTGTGCGATTAATGTTCAGTGCTAAATAGAAAACATTGGAAAAACTGTTGTCTTTGTTCTTCATTTTAATTCAAGAAATTAAAGTGTTTAAATTGATATTCCACAGTTCTCTGGTTACCGGCCCTGGTATAAAAATTGTGAACCTGTAAACGAATACATGAGTACATGTATCCCCCCTACTATAGGAGGTACCCAGAGAATACCACACACTAAAACCTGCCATACACCAAACTCTCCAATTTCATCAAGAATTAAATCAAAACTCATATTCTCTTAATTACACATATATATTCAGAGGGGATTTGCCCGACGCACAGCTGTCCTGAAGCCTCAAGTAACAATAGGGTTTACCTAAAATACCAAAAAAAGCCAATTACCCCTAATTTATAGCAGTACTTATCCCTTGCAAATTGCAACTCAAACTACTTTTTGAGAATAAGATTTTTTTTAGTTTTTGAGTTAAAAATGGCGGGAATCTTGATGTTTTACAAAACTTATTATGAAAATTCATCATAAAACATTCCTCCTTGCTAGATATTAAAAATTCACAACTTTTTAAGCTAAGGAAGCACAAAGTTTGAAATTTTCTGTATCTTCATAAATTGTGTCTTTAGTCTTTTCCCAAAAATGTTTATTTTCTAATCCCCATATATCTTTGCAACCCAATGTATATAGATAAAGGAGATTGTATTTGGATGGAAGGAGAATGTTCAATGCACGTGGATGATGAAAGTATGTATATGTAAATGGGTCAGGGGGCTATGTATATTGTAAATACAATATACGTACAGAGTCTCCCAAAAAACCCATGGTTAAAATATTAAAATTTTAAAAATTTTTTTAATCTATGGAACATATCCGATCGATTTGAGGTATGCAGAACAAATTAGTAAGAAAAGTTTAAAATATGACATTTTGGCTTGGTTGAGTTTATGAAATTAAATTTGACCGTATTAGGGAATTTCATTAGGGCCTGAAAAAATGCAAATCTTCTAAACAAATATAAAAAATGCACAGTTATTCTTGAAGAATTGCAAGACCTAATGTTTACAATACAGAAAAGAAATTTACATATGGAAATTTATAATTAACATTATATCTAAATCATTTTGTGTACTGGTAAACCCTTACTATCAACTTTTGAAAGAAAATGTTAAGCAAGGATAGTTTTTTTCTTTACTGATCACAATGATAATTTTCAACCAAGCCAAAATGTTAAATTTCCAACTTGTTTTCTTCAATATTTTTTAAGAGAAACATACCTCTAATAGATATCAATTGATCGGAAATGTTCCATAGTTTTTAAAAATGTCAAAAATTTTGAAAGTTGAAACCTGGTGAACGCTTCAATATCTATAAGAGATTTTTTTCTGACACCTGTAGGTTAGAAGAGGGTGTATATGTATGAACAGGGTAATGACTAAGGAGATGATGAATGTAGGATATAAAATGTATATCGTTTATAGATGAGATAAGAATGGATAAGGAGTCAATGAAATAAGAATAGGGTACTTATGGATCTACTTTTTTTCTTAAATGAAAAATTTTGAAAACTTTTTCTTCATTTTTCGCTGATTTTTATGTTTATAATTAGTGAACCATTCAGAGACTTGGTTTTTTTTTAATTTCTTCTTAGTTTTTGTTGATAATTTGCCCATTGGATCCGGATCCGTGGAATCCCTATATTTTTGCGGATGATCTAAGAAGCCAAAAAGTTTCTGATCCAACGGATCCTGATCGGGATCCTAAGCACTGTCTAGGCCTTTTAAAAATATTGTTTTGATCCAAAACACTTCTTGTTTAACAAAACAAAATTGATGATTGGATATAAATTATTTGGGGTTAATTTTTAAAGATGTTAGAAACAAAAACCCCTGGTAAGGTACTGATATGTAGAAATAGTCTGAAGGTTTCAGTACCTGTAGGTACAGCATATTTACATGGTCACTTTCTTTCTCCTTCGTGTTAAATTGTTGACTAGAAAATGACTAAAACATTTGGAGTTAAAGAAAATTTAAGACTAAGTCCTTCTTCAAATAAAAAAGTCAATGTATTTTCAAAATCTAGCTCGGAGGAATGATTAATGACAAATTTTAATAATGGTGATTTTTAAAACTAAAATGGACCATTTTCCCAATTTTAGCTTTAAATGTTTGAGTTGCAATAAACTTGTAACCTTCATGTACTTAGATATTGGTAAAAGCCATTTTTGGAAATTGAGGTAAACCCTATATGGAAGCTTCAGAGGACAGCTGTAGACTAGAGAGTCAAATATCTAAAACACAAATTTAATTGAAATCTCGTTTTCGCGATTTTTCTTTTAAGAAAAAAGTTATTTTGTTCTCTGATTTTTAATTTAATCTTAATTATAATTATAAAGAAAGAAAATTCGCATAAATTCCAGAAAAAAAGTTTTTATACCATCAGAAGAAATTTCAAGAATCGTTAAATATAGATTTTTTGTTTTCTAGTAAACATTGAAAAAAATTAGTTTTCATAATTATTTGATAATTTGTTGGCTCGCATTCATTCATTTTTATCGTAATATTAAATATTAACAAATCAAACTAAGCTAAGGTATTTTTATCAAAAGAAGATCCGAATATAAAAGTTTAATTGTATAGTTAAGAGTGGTATACTCTATCGACCCGGACTGATAAAAGTTTTATTATTGACTTATCTATAAAGACAGATTCTCACTTTAATATCTTATCATAAAAACCTCATTAAATAAAAAATTATTGACATAAGCTTTAAAAGATAAGAATAAGTATTTTTTTTTGTACGCTCTATTACGGTTTAAGTACTTTTAACATTAGGACACCTACTCATGTTAACATTAGGACCCCTTCTCATGTTAACATTAGGACACCTTCTCATGTTAACATTAGGACACCTCCTCATGTTAACAGAAGGACCCCTCCTCATGTTAACATTAGGACACCTTTTCATGTTAACATTAGGACACCTTCTCATGTTAACAGTAGGACCCCTCCTCATGTTAACAATAGGACATCTCCTCATGTTAACATTAGAACACCTTCTCATGTTAACATTAGGACACCTCCTCATGTTAACATTAGGACACCTCCTCATGTTAACATTAGGACACCTCCTCATGTTAACATTAGGACCCCTCCTCATGTTAACATTAGGACACCTCCTCATGTTAACATTCGGACACCTTCTCATGTTAACATTAGGACACCTCCTCATGTTAACATTAGGACACCTCCTCATGTTAACAATGGGACCCCTCCTCATGTTGACATTAGAACAGCTCCTCATATTAACAGGAAGACCCCTCCTAATGTTCATATTAGGACACCTTCTCATGTTAAAATTAGGACACCTCCTAAAGTTAACAGTAGGACCCCTCCTCATGTTAACATTAGGACACCTCCTCATGTTAACATTAGGACACCTCCTCATGTTAACATTAGGACACCTCCTCATGTTAACATTAGGACACCTCCCCAAGTTATCAGGACTCCTCCTTATGTTAACATTAGGACACCTCCTCATGTTAACATTAGGACACCTCCTCAAGTGAACAGTAGGACCCCTCCTCATGTTAACATTAGGACCCCTCCTAATGTTCATATTAGGACACCTTCTCATGTTAACATTAAGACACCTCCTAAAGTTAACAGTAGGACCCCTCCTCATGTTAACATTAGGACACCTCCTCATGTTAACAATGGGACCCCTCCTCATGTTAACATAGGACACCTCCTCCTGTTAACATTAGGACACTTCCCCAAGTTAACAGGACCCCTCCTCATGTTAACATTATGGCACCTACTAATGGTTACAGTAGGACCCCTCCTCATGTTAACAGTAGGACACCTCATCATGTTAACATTAGGACACCTCCTCATGTTAACACTAGGACACTGCAAGGTAGTGAGATGATTCAACTTCTCTTCTTTTGAAATCTTTAATTTGATGTAAAGAATATAAATACTAGTTTTTTCTGAATCGTCAATCAAAAGATTTAAATCGTGATTTTAGAAACATTTTTTTGAAAAAAAAATTATTTGATGTTGAAAAATTATTTTGCATTTTTCCTAGAACATGGATTTGTATCTGCGCAAACCCGTACTAAGATCCTCAGTTTAAGTTTTGGAGTCGATGTCAGTTTTCGAGTGAGGTTGTCAAAATATGAATTTTTAATTGTAAATTTAAATATTATATGTGTTCGCTATTTATTTTAGTTGGGAATATAAAATTTCAATTGCTGATTTAAGTTTTCTTTTTCATATTAAACTAATACAAATGTTCCGAAGAGAAGGTTAATAATTCAAAAACCCCTGTTGTTTGCCATTGCATAGAAATAACAGGTTAAAGGTTTTTGGTTTAATAATTCTTTAAAAATGTCAGATTTTAAAATTCTGGAAAATTTTCCTTTTTTCAAGGTTTTTTCTTCGTTTTTGTGAAAAAATATCAAGAATATTCAAAATATAAATTAAATAAAGGAGGCCGACCTTGGGATCGTTTGCTCGAACAAAAGATTTAATTTATAAACATTTTCGGAGAGTTAATAGAAATTATGAAAGAAGGTGTTTAACGGTTTTCCGGAGAAAAAGGAGATTTTAAACTGGATATTATACAGGGTGTTCCAAAAAACATGGGAATTCAGTAACGAATTCTATATCGTCTTTATAAATAATTCTTTGATTTAGTATAGTGATACCTACTGAGAAAGCTGTAATTTGTAAGAGTTTCGTCTGCTATGTTTACATTTTGTTTGTTTATGTTTTAACTGCATACGGTTGTAATTATTAAAACAAGAAAATTACAGTACACAAACAGTAAACTTGTCCGTCTTCATTGTTCATCTTGCGGAGACATTATAAACGCACCTTTACAGCCATTTACCGTTTTCGTAAAATAAACTCTAGCAGACATAATAATATTATGGGTTTTGAAATTTGGTATTACACTGCTAATTCATGCAAAGACGATATCGAATTCGTCACTGAATTCCCATGTTTTTTGGGACACCCTGTAGATGAGCCAGCTGTAAGCCATGATGAGCCAGGAGTGTTGATTGGGATGTTTTGTTTATCCAGTCCTGTCCATTTTAGGATTTAGTCCTAGTTGGGTTAAAATATTAGTTATTTAAAAATTGTTCAGATCGCACAAAAATAATTACAAAAAAAAGCTTTCAATGAAAAATTCAGATTCAGAATTAGAATGCAAAAATGTTTAATGTAGCAAATTGACTGCTATTGCAAGGAATACAATCGCAACGAATATATAGGTTTCCAGAGATAAAGGGTGTCCCAATAAACATGGAAATTTAGTGACGACTTTTATATCATATTTGATCCATGCGGCATTTTTCATGAACACAACTATAAATTGCAGTATTTCAGCTTAAGCATATCTAACATCGAAAAGCCCTGGTCTTGAGATTTTTAAAATGTGGTATACCATTTTTGTATCTACAAAATTTACGAAATTTTTTTAATTTCAATTTATTTGATATACCAAAATTGTCCTAATATCTAATATCTTCGTCAATTTTTCAAATATTACCCTTTATGAAAAGCTCGTCAGACGCACAGTCTCGTTTTTTTATAATTTCTTTGCCATGTATTAAATATCAGGAATTCAAAACGACTTTCAAGTTGTCTCTCAATTCCCATGTTTATTGAGACGCCCTGTAGAAAAACTGTATTATTTGCATGATTTTCACAATTTTTGTTTAAATCCACAACGAACGTCGTCCTGTCTTTTTTATTTACTTTTTAATGCAAAGTTAACCTGTATACTGGACCAGAAAACCTTATAATAGGAAGACGACATTTAAGCAATACTGAAGTGCATTCGATGTTTTTACAAAACAAATAGTTTTAAGTTATTAAATCAATTATTATGTGAAATGGGTCTGTTTACACTGCACAACTGCTGTGCTTTATTTTCTTTGAACTATTTGAAGGGTAATGTTGCATCGACCTACTGCAATATCGGACCTACGCCAGCTGTTTAATTTAGTATTATTTGAGGGTTAGGTTAAGACAATTTCTGGGCCGAGCGCTGCGGCTAGGACAGGCTAGGGGGCCGGGCGCTGCGGCCACAAGTCCATATAGCAGCTGTAATACCACGTGCTAGTAGGTCGGATGTGTAGTATAGCGGATTTGGCGTAGGTCAGAAGTAGAGTATGGCGGATATGTGTAGGTCGAAAAATACACCACCATTTGAAGTCATAACTTGACTCTAAAAGACGACTTTCTATTCCAGAGTTTTCTGGTTGACTGTAACTTAAAATATGCCCTGAGATTGTTGATCTTGAACGTTTGAGTTCGATATGAAATGTGGGCATTTTTATTTTAGGATCAATGCTGGATCCCTTAATTGAAGTTATCCCTGGCGGATATGACCAATGACCATCCCGGGATACTGAAGAGGAACTAAATGAATCAGTAGATCTGCATAACATGGAGATCATTGAACATGAGTTAGGACTTCTGCACATTCTTCTAATCGGATTTAACAGATACAGCTTTAGCAACGTTTGTCTAATTAGAAATAGAATGCAATTTTCCCGGTTCTTATCTTTTGACATTGTAAACAATAACGAACTCGATAGAGTTTGTGAATATAGACAATATCTTCTCTTCAGTGTTTACTTCGCTTATTCAAGTATTTATTTAGTAATTAGGCAGAACCTCTAGTTATATCCAATATTCTTTTAGTTTAATTATAAACTAATTTAAACTTATCCCTTGTAAACACAATAATCCCTCATAGCTCTGCTATCAGAATACACATCTATATTTTCCGAGATGTAGATAAATATGAATAACCAGCTGAAATGCCCGGCGTTGCCCGTGGAATTAGAAAAAATTAAATTTAAAAAACATCAAATTTAAAGAAAAGAAGTTTCGAATTTTTTAGTCTATGTTACCTCAAGGGTACCCATGGGATCCCTCAATAAATTTCAGCCAATTTGGTTCAGCCGTTAAGCCAGCTATAGCTGACATAAAAATATATTTATGAGAAAAGATCTATATTATATAGATAAGTAAGCTAATTGACTATAGTTTCGCACTTTTTAGTTCATTTTTATAATCTACTAGCTGAAGTGCCCTGTAGAATTTCTTAAAATCGAATTTTGAAAAAAACCGATTTTTTAAAGAAAAAAATTTCCAAGTGAGAGAAAAGCTATTTTTCGTAGTCGACCCTAGAAATAACTTTCATCGTCGGCCTGTAGACGGGTGAATACTATACATATACAATACATATACGTCCTAGGAGTCCTAGCTCTAATTTGAGTTAAGAAACTATAAGTAAGTTTAGGATCAAAACAATTAGGCAGAAAAAATGTTCTTATACTCAGACTCCAGAGTGTAAAAATACCTAAAATGATAATCCTAGGCTTCAGGTACAGTATCATAATAGATATAGGATCATAAACCAAACTTGATTCATCTTGAGTATTAAAGGATCGTTGAGTTTTTCTAATCAATAGATGAGCTAAATGTATGTAATATGTATCCTGTACGACCGTCGCATTGCCTATGTCACCCCCGGGCAACCAATGGGTCCCCTCAAAAAATGTCAGCCCATTCGGTCCAGCCGTTTGGCCGGCTATAGGAAACATATATAAGAATGTCTTGCTTTATTTTATAGAATAGTTTAAACCGAACAGGACGACTTAAATTATTATTATCAAATAATCAAAAATCCGAATTTTTTATCTTTTTATTAATTTACAAATATTTATCAGGTTTATCACATTTCAAGAACAATAAACAAACAGGACACTTTGGATTTAGCGAAACAATTTAGCTCTGAGATAGTTCTTGATGTAGTTCCAGGTCTATACACGGCGAGATTTGGATCTAGTTTCGTCCAGCTCTAGGATACAAAGAGATAAGGATGAAATTAAATAAACAACCGCTGTAAAGAATTAAACAATATACGTAGGTTTGGTTCCAGCAGGTACAAGACGGATATGAATTCTAAATGTGGTTTGGCAGGTAGGGTTTCAACATCCTATCTCCGGAATAGGCAGTATATTGATGAGATCTGTAGGTTCAGAAAGATTATATTAAACACGTATAAATGCAATGTGGTTTAAATATTAACTTCTCTTGATTTATTCAGTTCTACTCCGCTTTAAAAAAGTCTCCGTGCAGAAATCTGTAGAAGATTTCTTTCTTGAACTTCCACTGTTGCAAAGTAGGATTGTCACCTGAAAAATCATAATGTCACGAGAGGNTCTAGTCAAAACACCCTAACTTTTTCTATGTATCATGTTTATATGCAGGCAACTGAAATATAATTTCAATTTTTAGAAAATTTGAGCAAATCAATTTTTAAGAAATTGTAGAAATCAAGAAATTCACAGGTCTTAAATTTAACAAAAATTTCGTTTCAAAACTTTTAATCTGCTTATTCTTGGTTTTTTGACGATATTTTTTTTACAGTATATGACATGGTCTCCAATTTTTTTTTTTTTTTTAACAGTCATGAAACTTTTTGTAGCAAAAAATCAAACACCTAACTCAACTGACCGACTGTCAAATTGCAGCCAGAAAAAGTTTTTTTTTGACGTAATTTTTACTGATTTTACTTCAAAAAGTCTTTTTCAGGCAGTAATTGGGCAATTATACAGTTCACTTAAGACTTTGATTTTTTTTGCTAAAACATATCTTATTGTTAAGGAAAATTCACAAAATTTGGAGACCCTGCCATCAATGGTTCTGAAAATATCACAAAATCACACAGAATAATCTTGATTAATCTTTGAGCCTACAGTTACGGTTTAATTTAGACCTAAAAATGCACTTGACTTACTATTTCTTTAAAATGGATTTAATTAAAATTCCCTAGGTGGCATTTTCTGAAAATTTAGATTTTAACTCAGAAGCCTGCAATCTGCATATTAATATATTCCGAAGAAAAAAATTAGGTGTTTCACTTGAAACCTGATGGTTCATTTTCATCAGAGTGGGGTAATCATGTTGTGTCAAAAATTTAAGAAACTTCAGTTGGATGGGGTTTAATTAATGAATTGCTAATATATCCCAGACAATACTGAAACTTTTTCTGTGCAAGATTTATCAATGAAACGTCGTTATTAGTTATCGTTATCTGAAGTGCCCGGCGTTGCTCGTGGAATTTTAAAAATTCTAAAGAAAAAATTTTTATCTTGAAAGAAAACGAATAATGAAAAAAGAAAATAATTTGTTTTAAATGACCTGATTATCAAATGGCAGGTTGTATGGAAACTTTGGAGCCATGTAGAAGTATTGAGCTTGATGCTCTCTACACACTTCAAGGAGCATATCCCAAACCTTCCTCTCATTCTTCTCATCCATACCTGTTGCACAAAATAGGATCATAACACAAATTTTATGTTTTTAGGGTCTCTTGTATGCCCCATACTAAACTAGTGACAAGTAATATGTATACAGGATTACCCCTAAAGGATGCGACTTCTATAACGGGTAGTTACTCTAAAATTCGGTGATGGTGATGGTGTTCATAACGGGGCCTCTTTTTCAGATTTCATTTCAAATTAGTACAAATTAGAGTAAAAAAAGTAGATGTTAGTTCCAAATTTATTGAAAATATATTTCGGTCTGGGTTGACCCTCGTCAGTACTTGAGATTGTTTCTGCCAGGATGATTAAAAACTCTTTAACTAAGAGTCTATCGTTTTTACGTATTTGAGCTTGGCAAAAGGCCTCTTTGTGAAATCTTCAAACACTTTGGGTTCAATGAACTTAAGAAAAATAGCACAATAAACTGATTTAAAAATGTACTGTTGACCTTTATCACTATTTTAAAACAAAATAAAGTTGGTTTTGGTATTTCCAACAACTTTACTTTTCAACATTACTTTGTCATAAGTACTGTTTTTACACAGGGGAAAAATATTTAGATTGCGAATACTTTTGAGTGGAACAGTCTAACTACATATGGGGAAGTTTAGTACTTCACCCAGTTTAAAAAAGATACATTAATGATTCACTAAAAAAAGAAACAAGTGTACAACTTAAGAGTTTCATTAACGAAAGAAAATAAGACTAAATAAATTCTGTACAGTCGTATCTGAAGTCTCATCCTTTCTGGGTAGCCATGTATTTTCAATAATTACACCTGTGAATTAAAAACTGTTTTCCTTTCTGTGATACTTTTCTCCGATCAAAATTAAATATTTTCCAACACAAGTAATATTTCAGAGAGATTTAAAGGTACGGAAAAGAGCAGAGTTCAGAATATACGCTAAATAATTACCTTGATTTATCTCGTCTACGCATCTAAACGGAACATGCGTAAGGCCCTGCAGTGCCATCATATAGACTGCAGTAGTGACTGATTTCTCCCCACCGGATTGTGTTCCCTTGGTTAGCTCCTGAAACTCCTCCTGGTCACGGAACTTAACCATAATCCTTACTCCGTAGTTCTTCAGATCAAGTTCATTATCCTTCCCTTCACATAGCTCGATCTGTCCGGAGTATCCCAACGTGGCCATCATCTCACTAAACTTATCTCCGACCTGAGAAACCATTTTCCGAACCCCTTGAATCCATCCTCTACGGAGCTGACCAAGTTCCTTCGTCTTGCTCTCCTTCTCCTTCTCCATGTTCTCCACCTCGGCTTTAGATTTCTGGACGCTTTCCCTGATCTCCTTAATCCTCTTCTCTGTATCCGGGGATACCTTGAGCTTCTTCAGCTCCCCTTCACAATCTTCTATATTGACTTGAAGATAGTTCTCGTCCAGGCTTCCAAGCGAAGCAAACTTTTCCTGCCATTCTAAAGGAGGTTTGTACTTGGTCTTTTCATCCTGACATCCACCTGTAGCCTAACAAACAGATAAACAAAAACCATATGTACAAGGTTACCCACACATGATTCGACTGTTCAGACGACATAAAATCCTTCAAATATGACGATCCTAAGGTCAAAATAAGTATTCTGCTCTCAGCTTAGCCTTTTAATGACTTATTAAATGAATTGGCATGGAAAGAAATAAGTTTGCAATTGCAGAGAATCACAAATATAAGAAACGAGAGTATAAATTCCGCACAATCGTCTTTTAAGTCTCATCCTTTGTGGGTAACCTGGTACATGCTCTGACCGCGTAAAATAACTTGAATTCTTACATGGGCTCATGCCCAATTTCTTATTCAATGTTACCATAGGTACAAGTATAAGTCGTATCTATCTATCTACACTGCTCTGGTAAAGCGTAACCATAGTGTGACTATAGTTCTACCTATGGTAGAACATCTAAGAAATAGGCCATCGCACTGAAAAATTAGCCAAAAAAAAAATACTAAACGTAAGGAAGCAAATTATACTGAAAATTCTTCCCCGATATCAAGTGTAACACAACTTTATCATGAGATTTACTATGTACCTAAATCAGCAATAATTCTTGATATTGTACAGCTAATCTATCTATCTTTCAATCTCGAGTATAATAATAATAACTAAGGAAGAAAGTGTAATAATTATCAAAATTATTGTTTTGAAATTGAAAGAAACATCGTGGAACAATTATGATTTTTTTCACCGAAAGGCTTCCCAACCTTGCTATCAATAGCTAACAATCTAGCTGTCAATAGCTTAAACATATACATATCGCATATTATACATATCTGCTCGGTTCCAAAAAACTCTCTAATTGAAGGGTAACGTTATCACCTGGACAGTCCCTGTAATGCAGATATTAAAAACAAGTTGACCTACCTCCAAGGCTTCGTTGTGATATGTTCTCAAATTAACTTTTTCTTCATTCATCGCGATTTGACAAGCAATAGACTCATCATTTAACCTCTTAAAATCCCTGAAGTAAAACTATTTTTAACAGTGACTGAATATTGTCTCCGGAGGTTTGCTGCTGTCAGCAAATGTACTTAATAACAGCTTTATATAGAATAACAGGCCCAAGGGTGAGAAAATTGATATTCCTAGATTTAACCAAGAAAACATTTCTAATTCATCCAGGAAATCTTATAAAATCCCCGTTCTTTTATGAGCTCTGTGTGATCAACATGAAAAGGAACATGGGTTTATACATGCTTGTGCGGTTCAACAAAATTTGTTACATGTGTTATTTTCTTAATTGGGGTTAGTGAAAAATAAATTAATTTTCGGGCAAAAAAATAAAAAAATACTGACACCGTGAAATTCTTTAATGCCCCCCCCCCCCCCCTCCGGGGGTGCAGGAGGATTTCTTCAAAATCTCCAGTTTTTTACCCAAGCTACAATTTTTTTCATATCAGTGAAATTTTCTCCTGCTAAGTGGATTAAACTGGATAGTAATGGCTAAACCGTATTCACCAGGTATTTTCCTTCATTAGAAAGACGGAAATACGAGATTTTTCCAAGAGACGGTTATATTTGTTTGAAGTTTTCTAGTAAACAACATAATGCAGTCGCCATTTTATTTTAAATTTTGTAAGATCAATTTCAACATTCAAACAATTTACTGTTAAATAAATATGTTAGTCAAATACTTACTTTTCTAGTTCCTTTAACTGGTCAGTCTGATCCTGGTTCTCAGTTTCGATATTTTGAAGTTGAAGTTGTTTACATCTTTTCTCCAGGTCCAGTCTAGCACATGCTCCTGCTTTCTCCTTCCCAGACTTCATTCTCTCACAGAGCTTTCGAACCAGGTCAATTTTTTTACGTTTTATCTTGGCTTTCTCCTCTTCGATATTACACTTAGGCTGGGCCAGACTCTTGAGGAAGACAACTTTCATATCTAGTTCTGCTTTAGCTTTGTTAAACTCCTTTTTCTTGGACTCCAGTCCCTGGATCTCTTTTGAAACCTCATTCAATTTCAATCTCATGTTGAGAATGGATTGATTCTTTTGATTCAACCTGTTGATGTTGTTCTCCAGCGCTTTCTTCTTATTCTCTATTTCAGTCTTAACATTTTTTAATGCATCCGTATCTATACAATCAGCCAACCTGATAACCCTCCAAGAACTAATATCGTCAATACCTGTACTAAGCTCTTTAGAGTATCTAGAGCGCTTAGCGGTAAACTTGAGACCCCCGATGTAGAATGTCTGGAACTTGTTTTTGAGTTCGTCCGTATACTCATTCTCTTCCTTGAAGAAAGGAACTTGGTGGAGACTCTTCTGCTGACAGAGGTACGCGTTCACGGCCAGAGGTGCTTCGTACATTTCACAAAGATACGCCACGAATCCATACTTTCTCAGCTCATGCTCTTTAAAGGGTGAAGAGAAGCGCTCCTTCGGAGTAGGATTACTGTGAACCGCGTTCACTTTACGTAACTGTTTTACTTCTCGCAGCTCTTTCAGTAGCAGGTTCATATCATCAGGGTCTTCACAGACAAACCCATCAAGGTCAGCTCTACCAACAATAGATTCAAGATATTTACTATAATCTGCATTTTTCACATCCATACAGAGCATTATAGGTTCGTGAACCTTGCTCTTAAACTTGTCAAGGTTCTCTCTGAGCCAGAGAACTCCGTTGTAAGTATCTGGGTTCTGTTGTTCCAACACCATCAGCTTTCTATTCTTCTTGCTGAGGAGATCTTCCTCATGTTTTCTCAACTTTTTTAAATCTCGATTTCCAATATTTATTGAATTCTCTAAACAATATATTTTTCAACTAACACAGTCAAGTTTAGCAGGGTCTTTATTTTAATAAAAAAAATCCCCCCCCCGCCCGAAGTTACGAATAATTTTGTTTAAAGGTTTTATAAATGGTTTTTAGGTGAAAATGAACAAATAATTTGGTAAAAAGTATGAAAAGGATTTTAAAAACCTACCTTTTTATATAAAATTTTTCATTCCCCCCCCCAAAAAAATTACTTCCCCAGGAAAGGATGGGTAAATTCTTAAAATACCTGAGGATAAAGAAAATACTTTAAAACCCACTGGTTGTCCGACGAGGTACTTACTAAGTAAAACTTGTGACATTCTATTGCATATTATGTCAACTCAATTTGATTTTTTCTCATGTTTCTGGCAAATAGAATATCTCTGTCATTTCTAAATATTACAAAATGTAAACTAAGCTTAGTTTGGAAAATATTCCTGTGTCTTGAACCGAAGGTTGCTGATTTGCAATAAATCCTTCAAATCTATCTCGTTTTTCTTTCAGGTCTTTTAATGTCCCCTCCAGGGTTGGGTCTAGCTGATGTGTGTTCAGATATTCCTAGGTAATTTATTAAGATATAAGAGAACAATTCTAGACATAGAATATTGAAAACCAATAAAGAGAAAAAAGATGTTTATAACATTTTTCTTCCTTATGTTATGAGCAAACATATCAGCAGCACTGGGTTCTGAAATATATTCTTGAAATCTACGATACAAGGTTTCATGGGATGAAATCATCCCAGTTCTATTCTTACTTTTCTTCCTCTCCCCAGCAAGGAGAAGGGGAGGAGGGGGTACAAGGTTTCATGAGATGATAAATATACTTATGTGTATATTTTGCTTGTCTGTTTGTATTTAATAAACGTCCAAACGACTAAACCAATCGGGTCTGAAAAAAATAACATTTTTTTTGAAAATGCACAAATTTCGACAGAAAAATCAACGAAATACGAAATATAAAGAAATTGGCAGCTTAAAGAGCAGCGGTAACAACTAAAATATTTACTAGAAATGAGCCTAGTGAGAAAAAAAACAAAAACAATGATAACCGTAAGAAAAATATTCAATTACCGTTTGCAGTTCCTTTTCTTTTTTATCTACGTCAGCTTTGATATCTGCAACCTTCTTGTCATAATCTTTGAGAAACTCCCGGGTAGGAATCAACTTCGCTTCAACATCTTTTGCTGCTTCATCTAGGCCTCGTTTCTTATTTCGGGCCTCCTTCACCTGGGCCCGCAGGGTTTTAAACTTCTGCCATTTCAGAGCTTTAACATATAGTTCTTGCGTTTCCTTAATTTTCTCTCTCTTGTCGATAATCCTCATATCTCCCTCCAGCTTCTTTTCTTTCTGCTCGTTCGAGGACAACGTGTTTTTCTTTGTTTTCAGATCGTTATCTATCTTCTCAATCTCATTTTGTATCTCTCCCCCTCGGTGTAGTTTAGAAAGCATCTCAATATCTCCAACAGCCTTTTAAAACAATCTGGTTACTCTTAAAACAGTATCTGATACACTAAGAAAAGATCCTCTTTTAAGAGTTTAAAAATAAAATCTAAATTCAGCGGTATAAAAGATATGATGATTTAACCAAGTTTCCATTTGTGATTGACAAGTTTTCAAAAGTTCAGAAAATTCCATCATATTTAGCGGTTCAAAAGAAAATAATATCTGCCAGCGGCTTAAAATAAAAAATTAAATGCTTATAGTAAAGAAAATTTAAAAAAGAATGTAAAGGTAAAAAATAGAAAGAGTAGTACAGGGCTCCATAGTTCTGGTTAATGTAAATATCTTACAGTATACATAACAATTTCACTCTCTTTACTTTACTTTTTAACCATAAATCATAAAAATTCTTATGAAAATTTTTTGTTTGATAATGGGGCGGGAGAGGTAAGGATTTTTCAAGAAAATATACCCCTAGATAAATTATTTAAAAATAAAATATTTAGGGTGTCTTACTTTAATGGTGTTTTCAAATATTTGTGGAGGTTTCATCTGAGGGAAATCTCTAACCACGTCCTGCGGGAGAAACTGGCAAAGATTTCCCGGTTGAATCTGTAATCTCTTGGTCAAGTCGGTCAATTTGTTGAGATTACTAGGTTTACCGTTGATCACCCACTTGAGTTCACTACTAGATTTAGAGATTATCACTTTTACTATTGTATTTTCTCCGTTCTTACTGAATAGTTCAATCTCAACCTCAGCAGGGTTCTTCCCTGCCTCATTATTTATCAGAGAATTAAGATCTTGCTGACGGTTTAAACTTTTCAGGTCTCCGCCCAGGCAGATACTCAGGGCAGTTACTATAGAGGATTTACCAGATCCGTTTGGTCCAACTGTAACGTTGAAATTAGGACCTGGAAAATAATTTTCATATTTAATTTTGTGACAATACATAATATTTTTATTTTACATTTACTTCTCACGCTCAGTTGTTTATTATTTACAACTACTTTACAGGGAAGTAAAATGTTTAATTTCACGAAAAAGTAATTGTACACAATTTAATCGTCTTAATATTTAGATGAAAATGCGAGAATTCAACTGAACCAAATTATAATCAGTATTCAGTTTTGAGCTCTTTGGCATAGACAATAACTGCTCAGAAATCTATCTACGAAAAATACAACTAAAGTCTTGTAGCTTTAGAATCAGATTGGTCTTTCTGGGCCTTAAAAACCTAGATCTGGACCTCAGAAACCCCTAGTTCTGGGCCACAAAAACCTCTAGTTTTGGACCTGAAAAATTTCTAATTCTTGACCTTAAAAACCTCTAGATCTGGACCTCAAAACCTCTAGATATGGACCTCAGAAACCTCTAGAATTAGATCTGGACCTAAGACACTTTTGAGTGATATGATAGACTCAGTATATTCTGAATCCCTTTAAGCATTAGGTTAGTTTCCCTTAAATAGGATTGAGAAGATATCCATAAAGTATAATTATCTTCCGCAAAAGATGATTTCCTTCTCTCACCTGGATAAATAGTTTCATGTTTGTAAGTCATAAAATTCTTCATAGAAATCCTGACTACAGATCCTTCCTGTGAAAACTCCAACCTCTCCATTTTATCTGAAATTTTTTATTTAAAGAAAAACCATCGTTTTAATCAAGACTCTCTCAGTTTCACAGAGGCTAGGTGACATATTTTAGAAATAAAATCGGAATTTCATGTTTGGATAAAACATTTATCCTGCAGGGTTTAGTCTTAGTTTTATATATGGATAGGTCCGCTCCTGCTTGGTGATTAATTGAACAAGGTTCAGGTTTAAAATTATCTCCGGAGGGAGATATTTCACCGGAGGATCAGGACTCTGAGAACTCTATAAGATCTACGCAGATACTGCGTACTCGGCACTCTTGCCTTGTGTTTCCACTAAACCCTTGAATATATTTCTATATTGTTAAACTCCGATATAAAGTTGATTTAAAGTTCACCTAGGCTTGTGAATCTGAGTGTGTTTTTGTATTTTAGATATATATAAATATATATGCACACACATAACAAATAAGTTTATTTACAAGGCTTGGACAACCCTATCATGCTTTATCTTATTAATCTTTGCTTCTAATATAAAGGTTCCCACCGGAAGCTTTATTTCAATTTTGTGATCAATTCATTTATTACTTATATTCTGTTATTATGGAAATGTTAAAAATGTTCAGTTAATAAATTCAATGTAAAGTTAATTAATTTAGCTCGTAAACTAATTTCTGCTGTTTGATTTATCTGAATGAAATTAAAATATTTTGGCTTTAATTAAGCAGTAAGCATGTATTGTACAAGTGTCCAAGAATTACGATAACATCTCTAAATGTCTTCTTTGCTTCTTAAATCTTGATAAACGCTTCAGGCGGAACCTTCCCGGCATTTTTGAGCTCGTTGAACACACTGCTGGCCTTGTCATAGTTCCAGAGGTTCTCCTCTAGTGCCCGGGCAGACCACTCCAGGTTCATCCCGGTCATCTCGGAGAAAGCGGTGGCCAAGGTCTGTTTTGATGCAGGATCCAGGGCTACCTCGGTGACCTAACCAACAAACAGTTATTTACAATCATTACTAGGAGTGTATACTTTCTTGAAAAATAATTCCTTCCCCTTTTGAAAAATTCCCCCCCCCCCAGACTTGGGGGAAATAAATGATTTTTGGAGAAAAATAAATAAATTTCGGATGAAAAGAGTTGCCTTTCGATGACCAATTTTTCAATTTTCAACCCCCCCCCCCCTCTCCTAGGAGGGGGACATAAATTATACATTATACATTATACACTCCTGAATATTTGAAGTGTAAACATATTGTTAGTTTTAACACAGGGTTATCGATCTACTACATTTCGATGAATTCAAGTGGCAAATATCTACAAAATTATCGGAAAACCAACTTTGCTTGTTAAAACAAATTTTTTAAGTTTCCACTACTGAGACATATTTAAAGTCTCCCCAATAATTGATTGATAAATCAAGTTTCTAGGTAAAAACAAAAAAAATGAAATGGATTAAGAAAATATTATCAAAAAAATATCCATGAGCTTGATACGGATCCGTTTATTGAAGAATTTGAGATATTTGGGGCAACTTGCCGACCGCTATTTTTTTTTTTAAACTTTAAAATGAAAAGTCAAAAAATATACCCGAATGCGTTGCAGAGTTATTTGTTACTTGATTCCCCCCCCCCTTCCTCCCTGGGCCAACCACCGTCCCCCCTCCATTCCTGGGCTAACTAGTACCTGTGGTTTATTTAAAGTCTGCATTGAACTCTCTGGTGATGTAAATGCTCGCTTTGCGTTTGCTGCAGTGGGGAAGGTAACGTGTAATATTTCATTGATGATACAGAATCCAGCCCCACGAGGTACAACGATAAAACACCTAAACAACAGATATTTAGTTCTTACATTGTCTTCAATTGATAAAAGAAAAGCAAAACAACTTTCATTATAGAGTTATATAACATCGATACTCTCACCGTTTACCTCCACTTGGTTGATTTTACCAGGAAACTAAATAAAAGTCGAACCCCTCAATTTAGAATATCTAAAACCATTCCCGTGCCTCTCCCGAGTTCCCCAATCAAAATTTGAGGCAATACAGTCAAGAGGTTCCTGAGTTATGATCGGGATAAACAAACAAACAAACAGAGATTACAACTTTATATTTATAGATATATGAAGCAGTAATTTCTGTTTGGATGTTTTGATGTCCAATCGTAACTCTGGAAGCCTTGGACCTATCTGCATCAAAGTTTGATTGTGGGATTGAAAATTCTAACTTGAGTGCGTTGACTTTAACATGAAAAACTCCAGACAAAGCTGGGTTCCCAAGCTAGTTTTTTAATAAGGACAAAATATCACTTCTGATTTTCTTTACCCAACATATTCCTTGAGGAAATTTATTATTATTTGCAATGAAGGAAAAAGTAATTTTAAGTCATCCATAATTGAGTTAGTTGTTCAACTCACATAGGTACCATTCAATCTTTTAATTTGTCTTGGCAAAAATGATGAAGATATTAATGGTTTTATATCTAAGTTAATAAGTCTTCGTTGGATTTTTTGCATTTATACAGCAAAGGATTGAAAGAAATTTAACAGCATTGATCTCTTTTTAAGGCAGAAAAACGACGATATCTTTATTTTTGTATCTCAGATTAAGCTTTAACTGTACCGTAGTAAGTCATGAATGTAACTCGTCGACTGTTTCCTTGAACTAAATTATACCTGTTAAAGTGTCGGATCGCTTTAAGTTTAGTTTCTCGTTCTCTGAACATTCCGGTGACGGTGAAGATCATCAAGGTCTCGCTGGTAAAGGGTAGGTCCAGGGTGAAGGTGGTCGGATCATGCTGGGTCTTGGGTAGTCCAGCCAGGAAGGAAACTATCGGAAGACGACCTTTCCTGAGGAGTTTATGTCTCCTTGATTCCTGGGATACACGCTTCAGGTTCCGGGAATCTTCAAGATAATTTTTAAACTGTTCGAAGGAACCAACACAAGACAGCGACATCATTGCGTTCTCGTCATACGCATCTAGATAAACAAAAAAAAATCAAAATTAAGACAAATTTTTCATTGTAAGAGATCTTCTTCGAAATCACGCCTGGTTTTTCATTTTCAAACAATCTTTTTAATTGCTTTGAACTTTCAGAAAAAAATATTATTAAAGTTTTTTATAAATCTGATTTTCTTTATATCCTTATGTTAATGTAAAACATAAAACATTATTTACCTAATAATGGTTGTCTGTTGTCTGTATCATAGAGTTTAAAATACTGCTCTAGAAACTGTAGAACCAATCCTCCAGCAGTCTCATTCTAGGTTAACATGATATTATAAAACCTAACCTCAGGCTTACATCATACTATCTCTGGGGTTGCTGACGGGCTAAACGAAAACTTATTAAGTTTAAGGTTTCTATAAAATTTACTCACTTGTCTTTTATTCGCAATAAAACCAATTCTCAATATAATTATGGACTACCCTCTCTGTTAAAATATTTTGTAGATTTGGTTGGTAGATAGATCAATTTAAATTGAATTCCACAATTTTGGAAACTTTTCGGATGTAGAGCTTTCTAGATTTTTGTTTAAACCCAGTTTTAGTTTATATGATTTTGTTCTACTCGGTTCAACTAGAGACTATAAAATTTAAAAAAGAACTGTCTTTACCTTCACAAGTTTGGGAAGAGATGCAGGGATTTCTGTTTTTTCCGCTACATCGTCATCAAACCCGATCTCCTTCGGGAGAACCTTCTCGTCCAAAACCTACATTTTTTTAGATAAATAGATAGCTGAAATAATAACTAGAGACAAGATACTAAACTAACCTAGAGACAAGATATTAAACTAACCTAGAGACAAGATATTAAACTAACCTCGAGTAGAGACAAGATATTAAACTAACCTCGAGATAAAATACTAAACAAACCTAGAGACAAGATATTAAACTAACCTAGAGACAAGATACTAAACTAACCTGGAGACAAGATACTAACCTAACCTGGAGACAAGATACTAACCTAACCCGGAGACAAGATACTAAACTAACCTGGAGACAAGATACTAAACTAACCTAGAGACGAGATAAAAACTAACCTGAAGACAAGATACTAACCTAACCCAGAGACAAGATACTAAACTAACCTGGAGACAGGATACTAACCTAACCCGGAGACGAGATACTAAACTAACCTAGAGACAAGATACTAAACTAACCTTGAGACAAGATATTAACCTAACCCGGAGACAAGATACTAAACTAACCTGGAGAGAAGGGAAAATCTTCCTGACGGAGTCTGTATAAGCTGACCCCAATCTATCCTTACAAGGATTTCCATCCAACTTCAACTCCGTTAAGTTTATTCCTGGAAAAAATATGTTTAATTAACTAATGAGGGTGGAGGCATTTAATTCAATTAATGAAAAAACGATGTTTTTTTGAAAATGTAAATATTAATGTTTAATATTTGAAATTGAAGTAAGTTACCTTTTAATTTCTCTAGTCCTCGGAGATCAGTTAATTTATTATCCTTGAGATACAGTATATTGAGCTCCTTGAGTTTGTTCTTAAACCCAACCAGGGCATCCAGGGTCATTATTCTATTGTTGGAGAGGTCTATAGCTTTCACCTCAGGGATATGATCTGCTATGATTTCCACAACCTTTGTTAATATATTGGTTCGGTTCAACGGAACGTAGAAATCTGTCCCGGAGAAGGAATTGTGGAACGCGTTGAGGTTTAGTGCTGAGGTTGAAACATTGTATCGCTCAGACATCACAACTTTTATCTTTTCAATCATCTCTTTGGAGACCGGCATGTTGGGGGGTATTGTTCTCTCCATAGAAATTACCAAATCAAATCCGTCCGGGAGCTCTATTTTCTTGTCCAGGTCCTACAAATTTGGAAGATATAAATGTAGTGTCCGTATGAGCTGGTTATTAGAGAAAGTTATTGAGCGGGAGTGTACAATTCTCAACACCCTCAAACACCATTATTAATTCGGGGAAAGTATTGGACTGAAAACAAACATAACACTTTTGGATGTCAATATTCAACACTTATTTATAAATGTGGAATGCGTTGTTTATTAATAAGTAATAGAAACCTTTATGGAAGACGACGTTTAGGCTCAAGTTTGACTTTAAATAGTCCAATAAGCATGGGAATGGGAAACTGCAATTGTACAGTTAAAACAGACCCATTTTACTTAATTAGTGATTTAATAAGTGTCCAGTGTAACTTTTTGCTATGTGACAACATTAAGTATACTTAAGTATTGCTATAAAGTCGTCTTTATATCACCGTATTTTAACTTACCTTGATAGCTCTTGCAGCTGCTGAATCTTCTATATAAAATGTTGAATTGTTGTTGTTGGCCTGATAGCAGATAGGAAGAAACTTAACAGCAGATTTCTGTAAAAGCTCTTTCAGTAAAAACATCTTGTCATATTTAGCTCCGTTCCTCAGTGTTATCTTGTGCCAGGTTAGCCCGCCTACTAGAGCAGGTTTCCCAGTTGTATTTCTACTGAACGATCCTCTTCTCATTCCTCTCCAGCTTCTCATCCCGTATACAGGTCGTCCTCTCCCGGCCTGGTCAGATCTAGTTTCTACATCTAGATCTAGATCATCGTCAGGAAGGAGTCCAAGGTGAGCAAAGTTAGCTCTAGGTGGACCTCCTCTACTCCGCTTTTGAATGGATCCACCACGAACTCCGTCAGCGAACCCAACTTGTTTTTGTCCGAGGCGATCACGTATTCTCGGCTGGTCAAACCCTCGGTCATCATGTCCATGGAACCCTCTTCTAAATCAAGATGAATGAAATAAGCAGTGCTTAGGTTCCATTTAATTTTGATGCTGATCCGGATCCTGAATCCGCACTGGGAAAAAAATGGATCCGGATCCAGCTAGTGAGCATTTCTTTTCCAGTTCAGATTTTGGTTCCGGATCCGGATCCAGGAAGCCAAAATCTTGCGGATCCAACAGATCCGGGACATGAGCACTGGAATCAGGAATGATCTTATGTCTTAATTGAGGGAAAACTTCATGAATATATTTTGGGGTAAATATTTAATTTATTATCTTCAGTTTTGTCCACTTTACATCCATTTAGTCGAGTCCTCCCCCCCTCCTCCCGGGAAAACTAGCGCCAAATCATCTATCGCCGATTTATTTTTAAGAAGCATACAGAATTTAATCAAAATAACATGTCTGGTCATAATTTAAACCCTTCAGAGCAGGAAAGTTTCAGCAAAGCATTATTCAAGATAGTCAATTTCATAAAGTATTTGCTTTAATCGCTTAGAAGAGAATAATTAACGTGAATATTGTCAACAAGATATAATGAGAGTACTTCTATAATCCACCAATGACTAAATACCAAATTATACGTCATAATCGTTTAAAATACACAACATGAATAAGAAAAAACTGAACAATAAATTCCTGGTTTAAAATGGATTAAATTGAATTTGACTCTAAAGGGCACTTTGTACTAATTTCTCGTCCTCTCCGTATTCTCCGTCAACTGCTTTCTGTTGATGAAGCAGATACTGAAAAGATTTCAGATTAGATCTTTCTAATTTCAAAACCAGAATATTTTCTGAATATCAGATAACTATCACTTTACGTACCGATTACTGTGTGCGTGAGCTAGGCGCTTAACTAATCCTTTTTTACTATGCTGCTTTGTTTCGCAACGCGTCGCAGCGTAATAAATAGTTTAAGTTTGTAAGCTGTTGCGGCATTATCCTTGAGAAGGGGCAACTTTAATATTTTACAAGGACAGGGGTAGATGCATTTTTCTAACAACATACAGAATTTTTATCATATCAAATATGATGTGGGAAAAGAAGGAAAAACAAAAAAATGAAAGAAAGAAGGACGGAAAAAAGGTAAATTATGGACATAAAATCTCATTTTTGTTACCAATATTATGTGCCAAGGATTATTTTTTCTTCAAATTAATAAATTAATATTGAGTAATTTCTGAAATAAACTATTTAGGAATTTTTATTTCATCCTGTCTTTGTGAAATGTGAAATGATAGAGTTTAAATGATTTTTTTGTGTTATATCCTTTTTCCTTTTTTATTAGATTAATGATTCTAATGAACCAGCGTACAGCAAAAAGTAACATGCAGGATTATAGACAAATTAAAAATTATAATAAAATATAACTAGGTTTAGGGGAGCTGTTTTTACTCATCCTCATGCTTGCAGGGGAGTTTTGTTTTCAAGTTTTATTCTTGGGAAAATTGTATACAATTATCCCTATAAAATAAGCCAACCATCGAATCGAATTTATCAATAGTAGTCTTGTCAATTTTTCAATGGGTTTTATACTATTTTTCGTAATCTCATTATTTGCGAAAATAAATAAACTATAGCCATGATTGAATATGCGGGAACAGTTTTAAAGAGCTTCATATAATCATTTAATTAAAAGACTAAATGTCTGCCACATTCCATTATTAGAAATTGTAAAGAATATGACATTCAATGAATTCTTTCGATTTATATTGGCTTATTTAGGTTTTAACTGTACCTTAATTCAGTTATTGTTTTTATTTTAATGCTTCTCAATAGCACTTAGGGAAAAAAACAAAACAGGCAAAGGTTGTCTAACTAAATAAGTTAAAAATTTAGTTTTGGGTCTTATAGTCATTAATTTGAACCCTTATTAAGTTTTTCAGAGCTGAAAACTTTAGAATGGTGGATATCAGGATTAAGGCTTAATCCACTCTTTTTCTTAATCTCGGAATTAAATATTGCTTGTTTACCTCATGACTTTAATCTTCAGATTAATTATCCGACGGGATATCTGGATATTTCATTCTAAAGTTTTCAGCTCAGGATTAAGGATATCCCATTCTAAAGTTTTCAGCTCAGGTCAAACAAAAATGTTCACTTGCGGGCACGCCCCTTTCATTACCTATATGACCTAAATCTGCGATTTTTAACATTTGTACCCCTACGTATTTTTAGGTTTGGAATACGTAAAAATACGTATTTTCCATACATATGAGTATGACATACGTAAATTTTCGTAACCATGTTCTTGGTAAAAATACGTATTTTATACCCGTAAAAATACGTATAGGAATAAATTAAAAATGCTTATGTAAAAAATCCTAAAAAATCCAATGAATCAAGAATTTTTAGTTTTATCCTATACGCAGTTTTAGGTTTGAAAAAACCCTAATATTTCTTAATTTTTGGAATTTATAGGTTTTACCTATACGTAAAAATACGTATTTTTACGGTCTAAAACCAAGATGACTATAATTTTGCATGTACATTGTTTCTTCATGTATATAGAACTAATTCCACAAATTTCTTTAATCAGAAAGATATCAATTATTTTCAATCTAATCCAATATTCTTCTATAATACAAATTCACACCATCATCCTTCCTTCATCTGTATCCATATAAATCTACATTCATATATGCAATTTGTCTTTATCTTTAACAATTACGTATTTATTATCTATTACACTTCATACAATTACCATACCTATAACAAGATTGTTAAAATAGAACTTCTATTTATCAAAAAACGAGAATTTGCTTATATTGATTGTAATGAAAACATCAATTTACTCCAAAATGATAGGAATTTTTAAACATCGTATTTACCAAAATGTTTGCATTAAATATCTTAGATAACAATTCTCTTGAAAAATCATAAATATTTTTAAATTTTAACTTAAAAATGCATTTTTGTGTAGTTGAGGTTTCGTGAATATATTGACACTTAAAAATTTAGTTGGCATCAAACTTTTCAACTTTTCAAGAAAAATACGAAAAATGCGTAAAATTTGTAAAATAAAAACTTAAAACTTACTTGGTATGAAATTTACGAAAATATACGTATTTTTAGGTTTGCCTCAAACTTTTAAACTCTAAAAAGTCACAATTATATACTAGGTTTTGAGGGCGCTTCGCGCACTTCTTCTATTTCAACTTTTAATTGTGGCTTTATTTGTGAGCATCTTCTCTTTGTACAGTATAAAACAAAAACAAAAAAGTTTGCGGATTTTATAATATTTTTTCGCGCATTTTCAAAATTTTACAAAAATAAAAAAACTTTTAACCACAAATACTTAAAATTTTGATCATTCATAGACCTTCCCTGGGGTCACGTGAGGTCCCACACAAAATTTTGGCCCGATCGGTTCAGCCGTTTTGACAAGCTAAATTTGTATATAGAAAAATATAATATGTATGCTTAATTTAATAACCCGTCTTTCTACAATTGTCCCTGTTTCTATCTACTTAGATAACTATCTTGATCTGTTACTCACTCTACCACTGCCTGAGAAAGTAGGCAGGTATACAAGTATATCTATTAACCAGTCCTGCAGGTTCAGTTTACTCCAGGTATGGAGGAAGTACAGAGTGTCCGAGGGAAGGGTTGGGTTAAGTTTGATGAGGAAGATGGAGCTCAAACTTCACAATCAGATTCTACGGATAATAATCAAACCCCTGGATCCCTCGAGGTAGGTTTATATATTCTCCACCTAGGTTACAGAGTACAGAGATACCTGTGAAAGATCATAAACCAGGTCTGACTGCTTGTGTTTAGTATATATATTCATGATTCATTTCACATATTTCATCCCCACCCAGTTTGTAAATTCAGGTTGATTCATTATTTAACATATATAATATATTCAAACTTTAGTTTAATACTCAATTGCTTAAGTGGCAAGATATTCAAATCTGTAGCGACATATCTCCTAGGCAAAATGATCTGCTAGAGATTATATATATATATATTCAGTGATAATAATAATCTTTAAATCTAAGAAATAGGTTTTCTTTTTCTTATTTCTTAATTCTTGGATTTAACATAAATGTTGATTATATTAAAAATTTATTCTTAGTTCTAAGCCAGTATTCAAGGAACACTTTATAATCGTGAGTACAAACCTGTATCCATGAAACAAGGAACCTATATAGTCTTGTTTATAAACCTGTATCCATGATACAAGGAACCTATATAATCTTGGTTATAAACCTGTATCCATGATACAAGGAACCTATATAATCTTGGTTATAAACCTGTATTCATGATACAAGGAACCTATATAATCTTAGTTATAAACCTGTATCCAAAATAACAAGAACACATATAATCTTGGTTCTAAACCTGTATCCATAATAACAAGAACCAATATAATCTTGGTTCTAAACCTGTATCCATAATAACAAGAACCCACTTAATCTTGGTTCTAAACCTGTTTCCATCATATTGAGAACCAATATAACGATTTTGGTTGGTTAAATTCCTAATCTCCTGATATTAACATAGTTGATTGTTTTAAGGTTTTTTTGCAAACCTTGGGCTTTGTTTCTTAATATATATCCAATACGTTTAAGCCAACATTCTTTAAAATGATTGTATCAATTTCCTCTCTTTAATAAAACCTGAACTAGTAAACATATCTATTTCTAACCCTATTTCTTGAGCTTAGCTAATAAAACTAAACCTGAAAAAAATCTATTTATAAATATATATACATATACAATATATATCTTTGTTAAAAATTCATCAACCGTTGAAGCTATAGGGAGAAATTAATTTTCAAGTTTAGTAACAAAAACTTCATGTTTCCGAATAATACGAAACTTTTTATCCGGAGAATTTACCCAAAAAATCTATTTTCTGATTGGATGTTGTAATGTTAACTGAAAGCAAGCAGGAAAAATCTAAATAAATTGTTTTTAAATTATTAGGAAATAAGTTTTAAAATCATAGATATCCTGATTGACAAGAACTTTCTAAACCCGAGGCAAAGAGTATCAATTGTTTAGTTCCGTGTTAGATTTGCGTATTCAAGGTTCGGTTGAGAAGGGTAGTAACAGAAACTTTTAAATCACGACATAATTAAAAATTAAAATCATCCTTCAGAAGTTCAGCTCTATAATGTTTTGCAATTTATATTATTGCGATAGAAGTATGGAGTTAAACTCACCTTAAAGGGAATGTTCTTTAAATTGTAAAATTAAGAAGGTACTAATTATTGAACAGCGAATTCTAAATTATGCATATATTCAAGGTGTTAGCAGGTATACTTCTTGGAAATAACAATATTTGTGGTTTTTACAGAAGTAAGCATTTAAAAACTGTTTTGAAAATTTACCTTTCTTAGGTTACAGACTCCCACAGTGTAGATGTCGAATCATTGCGGAAAAAGTCAATTGAAAGTCCGACCAAACCTACTCTCTCCTCCCAACCTGCTCCCATATCAGCTCCATTAACCCAGGTTTGAGATCATGCTCCCTGAAAAACTTGAACTCAAAAGTAATTTGATCTTCAATATTTTTTCTCAGATATTGCAATTTAAAATTATTAACACCTATATATAATCATTGTTATCTCAATTCCTTTAATCTACAATTTTTCATAAAGTCGAATATATTAAGAACATTTTTATCCTACATATTTTATGTCACACTTTTCATAAAGGAACTGATTTCTTATCACAAACTCAGATAATCTAATCCTATATCTTTGCTGCCCAATATCGTAGTCCTTTGATATTTCAAACTATGAATTCTATTTTACATAATCTATGTTTGAAATATGAAAGGTAGACACCATCAGGTTGAAAATATATAATGATTAGAAAATTTGAGTTCGGAGCAAAACTCAGTTTCTTTGGGTCGTTTGCATGAACTTTTTATGTATATCAGCAATAGTTTTTTTAAATTAATCTTAATGTTAGATTTTGAATAAGAAACCCGCTTTATTTTAGGTAAACCTTGGAACTCATCCTGAGCAACAGAGACAGTTTGATTCTGGTGAAGTTCTGGTGACTCTGCTGCCGGTCAATGATAGATTACCCTGGATAACACCTGCCAGGTTCAGACCAGAGCTAGTTCCAGAGGAGTTAATGGCTCCCTCATTAACAGTAAGTAATAAGTTTTAAAAAATCTTTTGATTATAAATTAGATATGAAAAGAACATTATTTTTCTAGTTGACGGTAGAGGACTATGTAAACAACCTGGAGAAGTTAACAACAGACATTAGGTTCACATTGTACAACATCTTCTACAAGAGGATCCTCGTTATCTGGATAGTCTCAGCCTTCCTCATCCTACTCGGAATCCTATTCGGGAATAAACAGCCCGGCCTCGTTCTTTTCGGTCTTGGAATTGCTTGGCTCGTACTCAATGCCGCGGCAATATTTCTATGTATGTGGGTTAAACTCAAGGTATGGTTAAGAGCTTGGTGTTAACTCGCCGTAAGATTTTAATTCTTAGATATGCCTCACAATTATAATTCTGTTTAAGAACTGCAAACACAGGGTGTCCCACGAAACATGACAGTTGCTGAATAGTTTTGAATGTCTTCTTCCGTATGCTATATTAGAAGTTAAAGACTTTTTGCAGTTTATTTAGTTTAAAAAATCTTTTACTCAAATATATTTTACTTTGGAATCAATTTTACTATGATTTTTTAATATGACTGCAATAAAATATTTTTTATCATTCTCCTAGATATCAAACAACTTAACAAACTATGGAAGAAGACATTTTAAACTGTTCACAAACTGTCATGTTTCGTGAAACACACACCCTGTACATGACGTAACTGAACATAACCCGTTTAAAGATCTAACAAATTCTGAAACCCCTTTTAGCTCAGAAACCTTAAGGTGTGTTTCATCTTTTATAGGTTGGTTTCGTTTGTTAGTAGAATTTCATAAGTGTGGAGGGGGAGAAGTATTTTAAGTAAGATTGATTTTAAATGAAATTTGAATATTAATTTATTTAATATCTAAATCATTTGTGAATTGCGGTAAAATCTGTTATCTCTATGATTTAAAGTAAATGTAACAAATTAAAAGCATACTGTGCCAAATATATCAGTCTAATGGATCTAAAATTGTGCAAGTATATAAATTATATCTGAAAAACTATATTAACCTAAATTGTTGTCCTCCAATGTCAAAGACATAATTCTGACTTACATTGGATGAACAAATTGAGCCAGTTTCAAAAAGACCAAAAAAATAGTCTTGTCCGAAAATGACTGCGATGATTTTGGATGAAAGTTGTCACTGAACTTTTTTCTTACTTTTTCACATCTGCATCCCTTCTTTTTTCAAAACTATTTATTACTTAGCGCCAGTGGTTTTCTTAGGTTTTGATAACACCCTTCCAGACCAGTTTCATTCATAATTTTATAATAATGAACTTATCCAATTTTCGCGGATTTCTGATGATTTCTTTGCGGATTTTTTGACTTTACTTTGGTACATTTCCTAAAAACCATTTTGTAATGAAGATGGTGAGAACGGATGTTTTGAGGACAGGGATATTTCAAGGAAAGAATGGGTAATTTGAGGGGTGGAATGAAGGAGTGATTAGGTGTTTTCAGGAAAGGGAATAAAAGAGAAAATGGTTGTATTTAGGAAGGATATGTAGGAGGGAATGAGCGTTTTGAGGGGGGGGGGGTGGAAATGAGAGAGAGAATGGTTTTTACCTCAGTCAGATCAAGTTTGGAACATAATTGACATTTATCTGGGAAGGAATTGAGTCTTTCACACAAACTGAAATTTTCTAATCTCTATATCTTTGCAACCCAATGTCTTAGACCTTAGATATTTCAAGCTATGGAATATGAATTATGTTGGAATAAATAATCTAAGTTTAAAATATAAAGTTCTTAATTATCAGGTTGCAAAAAGATATATTTATAAGAAAATTTTATTGTTTGTCTGATTGTTTTTTGTATGTCCGATCATAACTCATGAACCCCTTAACCGATTTGCCTCAAATTTTGATTGGAGATCTCGGTAGAACCACGGGATTGTTCTTAGCTTGATTTTGAGGTTCTTAGTTGAGTGAGTCCACTAATGGAGGGGAAAAAAGCTAAAATCGTAATTTACGACCAAGCACGGTGGGATAAACGATGAGTACTCTGTGTACAATGCTTTGTTCTGAAGGTAGTACTAAATAATGTTGTTGTATAGTTGAATAAGTCCCTGGAGAAGTGTATGGCGAGGGTGAACGGAGGACTAATCAAGCATAAACTACTCCTGGGTCTAGATGATCGGGGTAAACTCTCCTGTCACAAGGTTATCATCTTTTCCATTCATTTTACAGTGGGAATCATAAAATTGTGGAATATGGAAGACGATTGTGATTTTAAATAGTTAAATGTTGAGACTCAATTCACTTTTAAGATAATAAAACTTGTGGTAGCATTAAAACATCAAAAACATATAAGATTGCTTAAATATCGTCTTCATATTTCCAAAGTTTTCTGGGTCCCACTGTATCCAACAATTATTCAGGTTCACGTTCGGTAAACTCCGTCATTTAGATTCAGGTCATGTCACGTCATACATATATATTGTATATATGATTAAGTAATTAAGTATTAAGCCCTAATCTTAATAACATCTAATTTATTGATTTATGATTGGGGTAGGGGTGTAAAAAAAAATTTTCAGCGTAAGTTTTTATTTTTGATTTTCCAGACCTTATTTTCCTTAGGGTTAATTAAAGACCTGGACTAAGGATTTTAATTCTATATTAAGTATGAGAAATTTTAGAATGAATTCATGTAAAAAAGTTGTCAAATAGAAAATTGTGACAGAAATAAAATAGTTTTCAAGAGGGAAAAATCTTTATCTTTTTAATGTATACAAAATTTAATATTAAACTAAATATTGCGATTTTTAGATAATTTTTTACTTATGCAACAAAGAGCGTATGTCAAATTAACTAAAATGATTACCCAACTCATACTCCAATTTCCTAATCCTCGTATCTTTGCAACTTGATGTCTGCTAGAAAAAATAGTTTAAGATATCAATGGTTTAAACAATGAAATTTCAAAGATTGACATAATAAAATTAGAGTTTAAAGTAATCCCAGAATCTTTTCAATCCCGAAAAATAATAAGATTAACAAAGGAATTAAGTCTTTGCNAAAGGAAGTATAGTACAAAGTAGGAAAGTAGGAAAGGAAGTAAAGTACAAAGAAGAAAAGTAGGAAAGGAAGTATAGTACAAAGTAGGAAAGTAGGAAAGGAAGTAAAGTACAAAGAAGAAAAGTAGGAAAGGAAGTATAGTACAAAGTAGGAAAGTAGGAAAGGAAGTAAAGTACAAAGAAGAAAAGTAGGAAAGGAAGTATAGTACAAAGTAGGAAAGTAGGAAAGGAAGTAAAGTACAAAGAAGGAATGTAAGAATGGAAGTGAAGTATTAAGAAGGAATAACAGAATAAATTTATAGTTTTAAATATCCAAGGTCTACGACTTTGTATTGCAAAGAAATAGGGATTAGAAAATCATAGTTGAATATAAGAAGAATAATGACCCATTTCGACAAAAAACTTTAGTCTGACATTTTTATTAACTTTTTCCAGGTAAACCTGTGTTTCATGTACTTGGATGCATCCCCTTGTATCACATACCTGGAGAAGTTATTGGATAACAAACCCGACGACAGGGCAGAGAACGGAGTCGTTTTTGATAGAGAAGCTTATCTTCGAGATGTAGAGGGGTTCGATGATACAGAGGTTAGTATCATTAATATCCTTTCTTCATTTAAGTACAAAATTGGATACAGTTTTTAATTCCTAAAATCAAGCATTTTTTATACACGGATTGATTTTAATCTGGAATTAATTCTATATATACATCTACTCCAAAAGCCATCCTAGAGACTTCAAATCTAAATTGTGTCAGTGAACTCAAATTGATCTCAAATTCTAGACCGTATTCGATGTTTATATTCGGCCCTATTCTTGAATTTATCTTTATACTGAAATCCTAAAATCTAACTATCCTAGAATTCAGCCGTATCCTCCCATTTTAGACCATCTCTATCCTTATGTTCTTATTCTAGAACCCATCTTTTTACTTTAATCCTAAAATCTTTTACTGAACTTCTATCCCATTCATCTTTGACCTTCAATTCTAGACCATATCTATACTTAGATTCTTATCCTAGAATCCATAAAATCTATTACTCAACTTTAATCCTAGAATTTAGCCGTATCCTCCCATTCTAGACCATATCCATCCTTACATTCTTATCCTAGAATCCATAAAATCTATTACTCAACTTCTATCCTAGAATTTAGCCGTATCCTCCCATTCTAGACCGTATCCATACTTACATTCTTATCTTAGAAACCTTTCTTACATTCCTGGTACTTCTATCCTAGAATCCATCATTTATTTATCGCTGCAAAAGGGCCTCTCATTAAAAAACAACCAGTAATAGTTAGAGAGGTCCTGGCTAAATCAAAATGTAAATATTGAGTTCCTGTAGTTGTTATTTATTAAAATATTTAGTCAAATATATATATCTAACTATCTATCTATTTACTTCTATCCTAGAATCAAATTATCCTAATCCTGGTACTTCCACACTTAAAACCATATCCTGGAGTTTATCCTTTTAATTCTATGCTGGAGTTTATCCTTATAATCCTATCCTGGTATTTATTCTTAAAATCCTATCCTGGAGTTTATTCTTATAATCCTATCCTGGAGTTTATCCTTAAAATCCTATCCTGGAGTTTATCCTTATAATCCTATCCTGGAGTTTATTCTTATAATCATATCCTGGAGTTTATCCTTTTAATCCTTTGCTGGAGTTTATCCCTATAATCTATCATGGCGTTTATCTTTATAATCCTATACTGGAGTTTATCCCTATAATCTATCATGGCGTTTATCTTTATAATCCTATACTGGAGTTTATCCTTATAATCTATCATGGAGTTTATCTTTATAATCCTATACTGGAGTTTATCTTTATAATCCTATACTGGAGTTTATCTTTATAATCCTATCCTGGAGTTTATCTTTTAAATCTTATTCTTGAGTTTATCCTTATAATTCTATCTTAGAGTTTATCCTTATAATTCTTTTCTGTAGTTTTTTTTTATCCTATCCTAGACTTAATCTTCTCAGTCTTATCCTATAGATTTGTTTTATCATATACCTATAAGATTATATATGTTAGTGAATTTATACATACATCTTAGATACTAGAGTCCTAAAATCCTAGATTTTTGCAGATTGTTGTATCTGGACGGAACTCTGTTAGGGTCGGAGGAAAGACGGAGAGAGCGGAGAAACTCTTCCTTCATTACAGCCAAAGGTTTGATCCCTTTTTTAAATTTAGTTTTTTTCTAGATTTTTAAAAGCTTTTTTATTTGATTTATTGATTTATTGATTTACATTTGCCATAAATACATCTGCCATAATTACTCTTGCCATAATACTTTTGCCATATGTAACACTTGCCATAAGTTACAATTGCCATAAGTTACACTTGCCATAAATTACACTTGCCATAAGTTACACTTGCCATAAGTTACACTTGCCATAAGTTACACTTGCCATAAGTTACAAATGCCATAAGTTACAAATGCCATAATTACAATTAATCATAGCCATAATTACCATCCATACATTTTATTGTTGAACAACTACAATTAAAACTTTTGTGACTAAAATTAACAAATCTAAATGAGGGACAGCTCATGAGCAGTAAGGTTAAGTTACTGCTCTATTGGAAAAGTATTGAATTGGCATTGATTCATCAACAAGGTCTTTCTACCAGTAGCATAGTGTTCAAATATCCCCCTTTGAAGCATAGTTACAAAACTAAAGTTGGGGACTTTCATGAGAAAATTTAGCGCATTTATAGAAAAAAATAGATAGATTTATAGCCTTGTAAAAGCTCGGAAATTATGGCAAAAGTAATTCTGACAAGTGTTCTTATAGCAAGTGTTACTAATGGTAAAAGTATTATGGCAAACGAAACTGAGCTATCTCTGTATCTTTGCAAACCAATTTATAAACTTTGGTTATTTCAAACTATGAGTTCCGTTGGATCAAATAATTTAAATTTAAATAAAAGGTTTACATCTTCAGGTTTCGAAGATATGGGGATTCACAAATTTGAGTTTGTGGCATAGACGCAATGCCTTTTTGTGAATTTTTTACGATTCTATTCTATTACACTATTTTTAAAAATCCTTTACCTCTAATCTAAACTACTAGGCCTACAGGATGCTTCATCTTCTATTTTTTATTTATTTTTAATGTTGCTTTATCTGGATACATTTTCTCTTTGTATACCAAAAAATTCGTGGATTTAACAATATTTTTTGTGGATTTTTTAAATTTTATGAAAGTCGAAATTTTTTTATGGCAAATTTTCAAATTTTCATCTTCCATAAACCTTCTCTAAGGTCCCAAAAAAATATTTAAATATATGATTCACTCACTATATTCCAACCTACTAGGTGGGCAAAAGAGTATCTGCGGAGAAGGTTGGATTGGATGGTTGAAGATCTGTATGGTAGACAAGATTACTCAAGTAATAATAACCCTAGGCATATCAGAACTGCACTCTGTCCGTGTCAGGTTAGATTTACATTTTGGTGTCAGACATAACTTGGTTTGGTTTATTAAAACGTTTCAGAACTGTAAAAGTTTGCTTTTATTAAAATCATCTAAACTTTTTGTCCCAAGAGAAAAAAACGCAAACTTTTACTAATCCAGTTCTGAAATGTTGGAAAACATTACTTTTTAGTATGATTGGTGCCCTTTACAAATCCAAAAAACCCTAAAACCCTAAACGAACCAAAAATATAGTTTTTTGGTTTTTTTGGCAAATATTTTCTCATTAAAAAATAAAATTTAGCATCGAAAAAGAAAAGTTTGTGTTTTTATGTAATACAATAATATATGTCTATCATATTCAAGAATAATACATTTTTATGGGTATTAATAATATATTTGATATATTTTCAGTTTATTGAAGAACATCTGAAGAACAAGAGACATAGAGATTCCATGAATCCCTGCCATTGGAAGGGGAATCCGTGCCAGTGGTGTGATTAAATATAAAAAAGTGTCAAAAATATTTCAATTTGTTAAAAAATTGAAAAGACAGACTGTGAGTGAAGTGACCTGAGATTGAATAAAAATCATCTGCTCGTCAAAATTCGATGAATATTTTTTTTAAATAATACAAAAATTAAAAAATTGAAGCAAAAACTTATCAAAATCACAATTTTACCATAAATACGTTAGAGTTTATTTTTACATTATTAAATAAACGTTTTGCTTTATACTGTGCAAGAGAAATACTTACATCGATGCCAACTTATTGACTATTGTCTTTTTTTAAAATTTAATATTAAATTTTTTAAAAAAATTTTAAATTCCAGTTTTCTATAAATTAAAGCGTTACAAAAAAAATGTTACAGTATTCTTGTATCTGGTATCTGGTATGCTAAAATCAGTTTGTGGTATTTTAGTATTTTTGGCTAATTTCTGACATTTTGGGAGGTCCCGATACAGTGAAACTGTTTCTGGAGTTTTAAATTCCGCTAATATTTCACTTCTTAGAGTTCCAATTTTTTTCTATTTTTAATTTGTCCATAGTTTCTAGTTTTGGCCAATAATTCAGGCGTTCTTGAATTTCCTAGTTTTGCCAATTTATCAAGTGTTGTTGAATGCTGAAGACAGAATTGAATGAAATTAAGCAAGGTAGCTGAACTTCATACTGCCATGGAGTTTACATCTATAGGATATGGACAAATTCTGAATCACCAATTCAAAATGCGTGCTTTATTTTTCTCTACACCTAACTCAAATTCAATTATTACTTTTATCTGAAATATTATTTATCAGAAACAATGTAACAATTCCTTTTTTTTAAATTTTTTAATTAATTCTTTATCAAATCCTGTTTAATTATAATAGTTGCGAATCAAAACTCTTTATTATCTACTTAAATGAATTATTAATTATCAAATCGTTTAATTAATCCAGTTCTACTGGTTTGTTGACATCTACAATAAACCTTTGATATTGTGATAAAACAATATTAATATGTCCCCTTGTCATAAATATTGTTAAATAAACTACTAAATTTGATTTCCACATTTTTGGGAGTGTGATGTGGTCGTTGCTTAATCATATACAGTGTGTCCCAGGAAACATGACAGTAGCAAGACGACTTAATGTCGTATTTTTTATATAATTTGCTGCATTTATTTGTCAACCTTCTTTTAGAAGTAAACTTCCAGAGAATCTCAAAATTCCCCTAGTCCTGGCATTTCCAAAATGTGGTCTGCCTTTTTTGTGCTTTCAATATTTCAGGAGAATGCCGAGATGTGAAGAATTTCGTTCAGATTTCGACAATAATAGTCTTAATTAACAAAATTGAAATCTGAACAAAATTCTTAATATCTCCGGTAATATTGAAAGCACAAAAAAGGCATAACACTTTTTGGAAATGCCAGGGCTATGATTTACGACTAAATGTCACAAATAAATTCAAATATCAAAGACGACTTTCAAGTCGTCTTGCTACTGTCATGTTTTAAGGCTATTTTTGATAATCGTTCTTGTCATATTATTTTTAATAAGAGATTAGAAAATTTGAGTTTGCATGTGGCAAACACACGATTCCTTTGTAACTGATTTATGACGAATCATGAATCCTTAAATATTTTCGGATATCTATCATTCTTAGTGAGATCTTATTATTAGATAAAAAATAAAGAATATGGCAATCATTTCACAATTTTCTGGTTACTACTATCTATACAAAAAAGCATCGGCATATTATCTTATGTTTGGATGAACCAGCTGTCCTTATTTCTGGAAAACCATGAAGCCAGGATAACCATAGATTCATTGTCATGCTCACGAAGACGACATTTACTGCACAATACAAAGAACCAAGTATCCGAGAGACCCATGCATTCAGTAGAATAATGGATTCAGGAAAACCACGGATCCAGGAGAACCATGGATCAAAGATAACTATGGATCCAAGATAGCCATGGATCCAGGAGAACCGTGGATCCAAGATAGCCATAGATCCAGAGAACCATGGATCCAAGATAACCATGGATTCAAAAGAACCATGAACAAAGATAGCCCTGGATTCAGGAGAACCATAGATCCAGAATACCATGAATCTGGGAGAACCATAGATCCAGGAGAACGCTGTGTCCCTGACAACCATGCATCAAGTAGAACTAAAAGTCTATTTAAAATTCAGTGATGGTGATGGACCTAACCTTTGTAGAGTAAAAAAGTAGATGTTAGTTCCACTTCATGCTCAAGAAGACAACATTTCTAGCTGTACCAATATAAAGGAAAACTATGTTTCCAGGAGAACCATGCATTTAGTATAACCGTGCATTCACTAGAACCATGCATCCAGTAAAACCATGCTCCAATGAGAATCATAAATTACAAGAGAACCATGTATCCAATGAGAATCATAAATTACAAGAGAACCATGTATCCAGTAGAACCGTAAATCCTGGAGAACCATGTATCCAGTAGAACCGTAAATCCTGGAGAACCATGTATCCAGTAGAACCGTAAATCCTGGAGAACCATGTATCCAGTAGAACCGTAAATTCTGGAGAACTATGCATCCTGGAGAACCATGCATCCAGTAGAACCGTAAATCCTGGAGAACTATGCATCCTGGAGAACAATGCATCCAGTAGAACCGTAAATCCTGGAGAACCATGTATACAGAAAATCCAGGCATAAAGTAGAACCAACAAGGATGATTTAATCTTTGAGAACCATTCTCAAAGCCAAGAAGAACCAAAAATCCACTGGAACCAAGTATCCAGAAGAACCATGCCTCCTGTAGAACCATGCATCCAGTAGAACCATGCTCAAGAAAGAACCATATATCCAAGAGAGGAAACAAATAATTGATGGGAAAAACTGCTAAAAATATCTTATCATCTAATTATCTATTGTGTTTGACACGTGTTCAAAGTAAATAGAAGATGACTTGAACAATATCTAAATTCTGTAAATGATTCGTTCAGTAAACTCCTAAACCTTGAGAATGGATTATGATGAGATTGGAAAAATGTTGTAAAATCAAACCATCATCCTGTTAAATGCATCCTTCCGGATAGGACTGAACCTAAGTTTAAGAATCACAGACTCTCTTAAAGTACATCACACATCTCTATTTGTTGGTTTAGACAGTGGGACCTATACAACTATGGAATAAAGAAAAACTCAATTTATGACTTTGAAGAGTCTAAAGAACATTAAACACATGAATTATGCAGTATACAAAAACATATATCCCTTAATAAGATGATCATAAATACACTCTTTGATCATAAATACATCAAATTCGTAAAAGACGCTTATATGTCGTCATCCTTTAGCTGTCTTACTGTATGTATTTGTTTGTTATTACACAAAACAGAGATTAGTTAAACGAAAATAGATGATCAAGTACAATAGATGGCAACGGAGAATTTGCACACTCTGTACAGCTGTCATCTAACGTCACAAGTGTCAACAGTTGTATGTTTCCGACAAAATCATAAATAATAGTGATACTAAAGTGCGTTTCTTACATAGAAATAAGTGCAATTTTGTGTTCTTTATTGTCTGTTTTTTACACAATTTTGACGGCCTGCTTAGAAACAAATCATCAAATCATCATTTAATTTAGAATTAAGAATCTTGCTTGATATAATGTTTAGCTTAAATTGAAATTGACAATTCTAAAAATATAATTTTCTTTAACTATCCCCTTTCTGGTAGAATTCATTAACCAGCCCCCCCCCCTATTAAAACTGAAGAAAATAAAAAATACACGGTATGAAATTTATTTAATTACAATTGTATAGAGAATATCTAATTCAATTATTTTATATGTACATATGTAAGTAAAACTATCTAAAAAATGCCCGATTGACTAGAAAAATGTTAACTATAAGCAATAAGCATATTTCTGTTTAATTTCTCCTAAAACTTATTTTTTCCTTCTTTTTTAACATCAAGATACTCGTCTCCGCGTTTCTCTAATTCTTAACTTTGATTTAGTTTCTGAACTCCGTCTTCTTGGAACCAAGTTCTCCATCTTCCTCTTCTCCATGTACTCAGCAACATTACTCCAGAGGTTCTCAAACCTGTGTCCTGAAACCTGGATGAGTTGGGTAGATTTACACTTGTAATCCTCGGGAGAGAATTGAAACCCATCCTTACACTCACAGTAAACCTCCTCCGACTCTCCTCCAGGAACTAACCAGGAGTTATCAGGGCAGGGACCCTGGGTGAAGGTTCGGTAACACCCTTGGGTTTCATTCCAGAACACGAATCCGGAACTAGTATCACAGAAACACTCAGTACTTCGGGACTCACGATTATATTTAAAAAAGAATGAATCAAGACATGGGCCCTGACTGTACCACTCATAACACTTTCCGTCCTGGTTCCAGTAGTTCTGATTATACCCTGAGCTGCAACCACAGCTTCCGCGATAGCTCTTACCAGAGTAATCTTCAAACACAACCAGTTCTCCGCTTGGACATGGACCTCGGTTCCCAACCTTATGACACTCTCCCTGAGTGTTCTTGTCCTCGTCAGGGAAGAACAAGTCCGTAGCAGGACAAGGATTCTTAGAACAAACCCCGGTCCCGTCCTCGTCCCTGATTATAAACTGTGAACCCCTGCAGGGGCCTGTAGTATACTCACGGAAACATGAGTCACTTTTCTCCCAGTAAACATAGTTATCCTTGCACTCACAACGGGGTTTCTTCAGTTTAGAGTCGTACACGAATATCTGGCCCTTCCCACACGGACCTTTGCTCTCTAGCTCATAGCATTGTCCTAATTCTGGAGAATAGTTGGGTATATCTGAGGAGCAAGAACACTGTGTTGTATCTGAGGTGTGGTTGTAAGTGAACAATAATCCTTCCTCACAGGGCCCACGGCTTAACTGCTCGTAGCACAGTTTCAGGGGAGAATAATAATATTGGTTTAGAAGAACCGAATCACAGCCACAGTAGGGTTCAGTAGTTAATGGGTTGATGATGAGAAGATCTCCTTTATGACAGGGACCCTGGGTATACAGTTGAAAACATCTTTGCTCCGGAGGCCAGAACACTCGTCCTGGCTCACATCTCTCCGTGGTCCGACAAATCGGGTTGCCAGTATCCTGGTTCAGGTCCACATACTGATCTACCTGACAGGGACCTCGAGAGTACCTGGAGTAACATTTTCCCGTTGGTTCCCAAAGAAGAGGAAGGTTTTGAGGACATCTACAAACCGGAACCTTATCCTGTGAGCTGAAACCTAGCTCCTGGGTTTCAGGACATGGACCCTGACTAAATATCTTGTAACACTGTAGGTTTGGAGGCCAGAATACAAGCTGCCAGCTTGATGAACTACATGGATTTCTCACTGGATTTGCCCAGGGTGGAGCAATAACAAACCCAGAGCCGGGTTCAAGGAGAAGGATTAGAACATATTGGAGAAAAACCATGATTTATTAAATTGCATTTTTATCTACCGCGACCCCAAGATTACTAAACAATATCTAAGCTCAGAAACTCTTTGGAGCCTGCCAAACCCATCCTAGGGTTGGTTCAGCTTATCTCTAGCTCCGGGGTTTAGAATTGACTGAAAGATTGGTATGTGCAACACTGCGTTGCGAGCGCACTCTTTCTACCACGCTCCAGCTCCTCCAGCACACAGACAAGAAACCAATTAAAGAAACTGAAGTGTTGAGATTTATTATGAAAAAAGGAGATCTAGTTTATTGAAAGTATGCAAATACAAGGAAAGTTTTGTCTATAAAATAGAATTACAATTATACTATGATTACCTTAGACAAACATTAATTAATAGTTTTAAAAGGAATTTGATATTGTTCAACATAGCTTTCTTGTTAAAAGAAGAACAAGAATGGTTAAGATTTCTTCAAAAGTAATACCCATAAATAATGTTGTTATGATCATATTTTGATGAGATTAAATCCTAGAACTATACTGCAAGTGAACCTGAACCTGAACCCTGAGAATGAGAAATGAGGGTGTTGACCTTATATATATGCAGACTATAGGATGCAGGAAGTAAACTAATAGTTCGGAAGTGTTTGGTGTAATTGGTTCCAATATTATAATATCCACCTTACCCCCGCTCATGGCAACTAAACCGATTATTCAGCTCTAGCTCTTTATTTCAACCAATTCAATGCAATCCAGTAACCACCCTTTTCAGATTATTTACATATATGTATATACAGAGTTTTTACATATATTTACTCTATTTACTCCTTCTTCTCTCATTATATTTTTATCCAGTTGTCTTTCCTCAATACCTCACATCCTGCTACTCTTCCTCCCCCCTTCTCTACCTCCTTCCTCCTTCTTCTCCTACTCTTCCTGATCTTTCTCCTCTTCCTCCTCCTTCTTCACTTCTTCACCACCTGCTTTTTCTCTACCCCTTACTTCTATTCCGCCTCCTCCTCGACCTCCTCTACCTTCTTCACCTCCTCCAATTTAGTTGGCATTGAGAAATTAAAGTTTTAATTTTGACATTGAATTTTCGTGGTTTACAACACGGAAATAGACAACAGTGTGCGTCAAGCTAGTCAATTATTTAGCAGTAAAATCATCAACCATATTCTGTTAATTTAATTTTTATAAAATACAGAATTTTCTTTTCTTAAAGGGACAGTCAGCGTAATGTCAAGTGACCCTTCATGCAAAGATGGTAATGCCCGATTCACAACGGTACCCTTGAACTGATCTAAAATGTTGAAGATTGTTTTTCTAGGTTTAGAAGTATTTGTTTCTGATAATTCCTATGTGTTTTACTGCAGTAGAAATGCGCGAGTCACTTTTATAGAGAACCCACAGCTAAAAATTATCAGTTTTCAAAATTTAATACGTTGATATCTAATTCATACTCGGGCATTGCCATCCTTGAATGGAGGGAGACTTAAAATGACGCTTACAGTCCCTTTAAAATATCTTTTAGATAAAGTATTTACACTATACAGTTTACACTGCGATCAAAATTATTAAGCAAACACTTTTTTGACTAAATACCCGCTTAAAACCTTCCTAAGTTTTCATCATAAAAAGTCAACTTTAAAAATTTTCTTTCAGAGACGATTGCACCAACCCTTAAAAATCATGGTCACCACTTCTCTGAGAGGTACCATATTTCCATAGCCTCCTCCGATACGGCCAATTCTGTATTTAAACATTGTTTAACAACTGTATGTATGAGTAAAGGACCTGAAACTATAGCTGAACCAGGCCTTCTGCTGTTCTTCTTTGCAGTTATTCCTCGTTTGCTGCTGTTTATACGGTACCATCTTTTAGTGCCTTTTAAAGAAAAGCGAGTTTTATCAAAATCACTATCTCTGCGCCAAGATAAATCATTTTATTATTAGAACCAATTTCCCGGAGTTTGCGGCACAGACGGATAAACACGGAAACTAGGGATAAAGTCAAGGTTTGACAGTATTACAACTATTTAATCTCACATATGGAAGATGCTGAGGGATAGGATTTTAACAACCTTTAAAGGGATTGTGAACGTAATTTTAAGCGATCCTCAGTTCAAATAGGACATGCCTTATTCACAACAGTGCTCATTAACCCTTCTTTTGAAGATCCCCTTATTATCTGTCTTAAAGTTGAAGTATGTTCAAGCGTGGTTTCTCTGTTGAGATGACATGCAGAAATATGCAGTATACTCTTTAAGATAGAAATACGTTGATACGTTCAAATAAAGGTATTTAGAGACCCTTCGTGCGTACCACTAATTAAATAGTCACTTTAATATACGTCTATCCTCCCTTTAACCAATATTTAGAATTAGATAAAACACTCTCACGCTTCAATCAGCGGTTTAAACATCAATATTAATTGATTCCTGATTTTTTTGTAGTCAATATTCTTCTAAACCTCTAATCATTGTCAGTTTTTATCTCTAATTTTTGTCTCTAATCATTGTCAGTTTTTATCTCTTATTCTTGTCATTTAATATCTCTAATTTTTGTCAGTTAATACCTCTAATCATTGTCAGTTTTTATCTCTAATTCTTGTCAGTTAATATCTCTAATTTTTGTCGGTTTCAACCTCTTCTATTGTCAAATCTTATCTCTAATAATTAACAATTTTTTGTCTGTAACACATGATAGTTTTTATCTCTTAATTATTGTCTGTTTTTGTTTCTAATTATTGTCAGTCTTTTTTATGATTATTTAGTCCGTATTTGCTGTACACATCTATATTTATCTGTATCATCTGTATCTGTCTATCAGGATGCTGACCGTGAAACATCTAACCTTGTATTAAACCAACATGTGTGCAACAGATATAGATAACTAGTGAGGTGTGTACATGCAGGGTGTCCCACCAAACATGACAGTTGAGAGACGACCCATCTTTGAAATAATTTGCGGCATTGATTTTATAGACAATAATAACAAAAAAACCCCAGTCATGGTATTTCCAAAATGTGGTCTGCCTTAGGTAATTTAGACAACACAAAAACAATAATCCTATTCTCTCAATCACTATGTTTTGTGAGACACCTTGTACAATAAATTGATAGATAGATAGTTAGAAGGATTAAATATAAGATTTACTCAGCGGAACTTAATCATCTTATATGGCACACAAAATACACTGCACAGTGTTCATGGTGAGGGGTTGAAAATAAGTAGATTTTCTAAGACATAGATCTTTAAATGTCTCCTACGATGACAAGCTGTCAAAATAGATCAAACTCGAACTGCAGAACGCGTCAAAAAGCATAAAAATGTAGGTCTTTATGACGCGTCAACTTTGGAGAAATTCTCCTGACTCTTAAACGTCTTTATCATATACGTCTCAATAAATAAAAGTCTGAGCTATTGAGCTCTCCTCAAGTACAATAATTACCATATTAGATGTTATAGATATGTTATCGTTAAAATTGTTTTACTAATAATGTTTCTCCAGAAATATACAATTTGAATTTGAATTGAATCAAATTTTAAAATTGTCTTTGCAAATGATTTTTTAAGTGGGCTGATGCCTATACTAGGAATACTAGTAAAGCTGAAATCCGTAGAATGTTCGTATGCTAGGATTTAAAATTTGTTTATGCTTTGAGTGCATACTGGGAATGCTGTGTACTTATAGTAAAATGAGAAATTCCTGTTTACAAACATAAGCACAGAGCTGTCATCCTTCACTGTTCATCATTTAGAAATCAAACAACGGTTTAAAGAGTAAAAAACAGACTTTTATTCGTTTACACAAAATTTACTTTGAAAGATGTAATTTTATTGTGATCATTGAAAATTATTAACAAAGACGACTTCTAATTCTTCACTCAATGGTAATGTTAGTTCTGTCCTACAATACTTCGGGCCTACGACAGCTGTAGGCCGGATGTACATTCTATTTTGTTAATCCGACCTACGCAGGAACTTCATATTGACAGTATGTAGTTGACAGCGCTACAGAAGGATAGATGTTCCGGTTGCACACAAATTGAAGTAGAGGTCAGATGCACACTTTTTGTAGATCGAATGCACAGATTTTGAAGATCGGATGCACAGATTTTGTAGATCGGATGCACAGATTTTGTAGGTCGGATACAGAACTTTAGTAGGTCGGATGCACAACTTTTGTAGGTTGGATGCACAGATTTTTGTTAAGTTGTACATCCAACCTACGAAGAGTGTAACCAACTTAAGAAAGCTGTGCAACCGACCTACAGTAGGTCGGATACACTAATTGTTTTCAATGAAGTGTGTATCCGACCTACAGACATCCAACCAACAGCGTAAGTCAGTAGTATCGTAGGACGGATGTAACGTTGGGCGGATGTAATACAATTCTCTCAAAACCCATGGTGTTGTACCAAATACCCAATACCCATGTAAATTAATTTATGGTTAAAATAAAATTTAGATTATGAGATCTGAAGGTCCCTAAAATCCGAATAAAATTTTTATATCATGCATACGAGTTTAGGGTTCTATTCGTTCTTTACAATCTCTAATAGTAAAATAATAAACGTGATCCTTGTTACAAACACCGTCAACATACGGCGGTAACCAGAAAACAGTGGACAACTTCCCTATTTGTTTTTTCTTAACATTACGAAACGGATTTTTCTATTTGAAGCTTATTTATTTCACGTTGAACAAATTTCAAAATCGTTCGCATTTCTTAAATATAAGAAAATCGAGGACGTCATTCTACATCTTTCAGCCGTGGTTGTTTATTTTGTCATCTTAGATTTTAAATAAAAATTATGCTTTTAGCGCGCTTCGCCCCGCTTTATCTTTTCACAATTTTAACTTTTAACTGTTGCTCTATATTCTATACGTGGCTATTTTTATCTTTCTCATTTTTTGGTCGCATAAATAATAAATGTAGCCATTTTTATTCGGCGCAAAATTTTCATAAACCTTTCATGTGATTTGTCATAAAAAATGTGGATCAAATCGTTCTAGCAGTTTAAAAGTTTATCGGATACAAACAACTAACTAACAAACAGACAGACCTAGACAGCCTGACAGACAATGTATATAAGAATATGTTGTTTCTAGTTTACAGGTTTTTTTTTTAATGATACACCATGATCAAGGATTTACATATTAATACGTGAACCTGATAATCAGGGGTATATTCCAACATTGAGTGGACATTTATTGAAAAAACATTTAACATACGAACAATAAAATGCTGATTTTCGTAATTTAATCACATAACAAACTGGTTGGGTCAATGCTCTTCAGTTTTCCCATGGATCAACAAAAATAAAATCCTCCAAAATCTTTCGTTTAAAAAAGAACCAGCCCCACCTTTTTTATTCAAAAATTGAAGTTTAATAATTTTTTTAAAATTTAAAAATAACGGTTAAACAAAATATTTCGGAGGATGTTTATCTCCAATGCTTGGCCTCTACGATTACAATATTGGATAAAATGCGTAAATTGTAAATCCATATTCTAGTGTGTTCCTACCTCCAGAGATTAAAGAACTGTCTTATATATTACTAGATGATGTGCCCGGCGCTGACAGTGAAATACAAAAAAATAGATTTTAATTTTTGTTTTAATTTATCTAGCTTTGGTTACCTCCAGGGTGCCCATCGGCTTCCTAAAAAATTCAGCCAATTTGGGCTACCCGTTTGGCCGGCAATAGCTAACATACATATATATGAACGCAGAGCTTTATTTTCTATACTAAGATCTCTATAATCTCTGTTTGCAGTGCTACTGTTCTGTGCGCCTGAGCAATGTGCAAGTACATAAAAATATACATCTAGATATGATTACATTTGTGCATTTTAGTATACAGTTTGATTGGTTTTTGTTGGACATTATACACTGATTATTCATATCACTAAAGTCGAAGTGTCAAAAATATGTAAAATTGCGCAACTGTACAAAAATTCAAATACATGTCTCATATCTTTTGCAAAATAAAATAATCTTAAAGTAAGAAATGCATATTTCCAATAGTTATAAAAGATTGTCGAGAATAATTTAGGGTTAAAAAGTAGTAAAAATCCCCCGGTAGGGGATAACCAGAATTTCCCCAGTAGGTTTCCAACTTTTCTAGATCAATTTGGTTTCGTGAAGGCATTACGGAACCTTTATTAACCAAATTCAAATAAATCTACCCCCCTAGTTGCTACACAGAACAAGATGTAATAAACTGAGAAAAAAATTATGGAACAATGCTTCCCTATGGAATTGATCAAAAAAACCGTCAAACTTTTTTGTGTCTGTTGCAACAACTTTTGTGTAGTTTTTTTTTTTAGATTAGAATGGTTCATTGTTTAATTTAGGAAGTTTCTGTACTCAATTGCTTCAAGTTTCTAATGGTTTTGTGTTCAGAAAAGGTTCCGTAAGACATTTCCGTAATGGAACTGATCCGGAAACATTGGAAATCCTAGCTGATATAAAAAGCAGGAAATTAGTGTTTAAATCTAGATCATATTTTTATTTAAGTAAGGCCGTGATTAACGTGTAAAAGGAAGAAGTAGTTTTTATCTGACGTGTTGGAGACAGTTAAATAGAAAATACAAAGGAATGTATATATAAGGTACAAATTAACATAATACACAGTAACAAGAAGTTAAGTAGATAATATTGGTCAACAAATTGCAAGATAATTGTAAAACGTATTTGTAAAAATAAGTAAAACAAAGTATATAAAATTAAATTTCTTAAAAAGCAAAACATGTTTTTTTAAAAATGAATTTAATGTTTCTTTATAGAGATCCTTAAAAGGTTTGTGCGATATTTCATTAACTGGACGGAATAGTTGCAAATATCAAAATTGTTAAATAGAAATTAGATAACCTTTGCTTGATGCATTTCATAAAATAAAACCTTTTCAGCAAGCAATTTTTTTCAACATTTGGAAGACGAGTGCAAAAATATGGACTTGGCGTGTTTCGTTGAAGCAGTGAGATTTAACAAAATGGAGGTCTAAAACTTACAAAACTAATTTTTTAGTGCAGTTTTATTAAATACCCGTTGTGACTTTAAAATGAATTTTCTAAGACATCTTAAAAATAGATAGAAAAGTTTTTTAGAATATAAGAATTAAAAAAAATTTAAGTTGTTGTCAGGAAAATTGTGAAGATCAAAACATCTTATGTTAAGATCAGTATGAGGATTGATAAATCAGAACTGTTTTGCTTGAAGAAGGGCACATGTAGAAAAAAAGTTTTGTTGCAAAGTTAATAGAAAATATCTTTTGTTTCAGATTGATTGGAATGTATGCATTTAATCGTGGAATGGTTGTATCAAAATAAAGGTTGTAAACTGGTATCAATCATATTACTAATACTGTTGTAAAATTCAACAAAATTCCTCTTAATTTTCAAAAAATCTGGGTTAAGAAAGATGTTCTTTTCGAGTATCATATAATTTTCCTCCATCGAAATGGACTTATTTAACCTCAACACTAGAGGCTTTGTAGTTGCCATTTTGTTTTATGGCTCCATTTGGTTGAGGATTTACGCCGCCATTGTTATCGGCATAAGCGCCGCCATTTTGAATTCTTTTCTTATTGTCGTCTTTCTTTCTAGCCTCGTCATCAGTGGTGGAGCAGGTTTCTCCGCTAGAATCAGATCTAGAGTCTGCAACGCCCTTCTCCTAATAATATCGCAACATTAGGAAACACCGCCAAATAATTTTGAATATAAAATGTCAGATCAAAAAACACTTCAGCTAAAAAACCTTTTTTTGAGTTTGAAGGAGTGCAACCAAAAATAGTTCGCCATTTAGCGTCATATTTACAGTTAAAGATTTGTTTTATATTTTAGAAGCACATTAATTGCTTCTATATGGAAAAAAGGGAGAAAGAGGAGTAGTTTTCTCTGGTTTCAAAATCCTGATCTTGCGGATTTTTTATTACCGTTTCGGAGATTTTCATCCGCTAAAATATCTGATTAATTCAAAACCACGAAAGCATCAGCATTCATTTTTAGTATTATTACCTTTTTGGCATAGAGAGCATTATATGCAATCTTGAGAATAAAATACGTCCAGATAACATGAAGGACGAGGAGAATGGTGAGAAGGACGTTAAAGATGTAGTACGCAGGGAACATCTCGAGCATCTGGGGCGCCTCCACGGTTGTGCTAAATAATTTATTAATTGCGTGAAATTAAAAAAATATTCGATTGATAAATATGGTTAAAATTCCAATTCATATCGAGAAACATTTAAAATGAATTAAACAAAGGAACAATAAAACAATGGGAACAATTCTTATGAAACTTATCTTTTTGTAAAAAGATTTTTCATGTATCATCGTTTATCATGATAACAGAGTAATATGTTTAAGATTTTAATTCTAAAAAAATACATTTCAGGTGAATAATAAAAAGTTTAACATCTAACCTGTAAAGAATCCATATAGGAAATATGCCGAGTCTTGTAATAATCCAACTTAAATAAGAAAAATTAACAAAAAGTCAGTTAAGACTGAAATATCCCCCCCCCCACACTTTTCACCAACCAGGGATGTTTTAGAGATAAATTCAGGATCAATTACTATTTCGTAATAACTACGTTAATTGGATTTCTACACAACCTAGACGGACCCCAGTTCCCATACAAAACGATAATTTTAAACTTGGCTTACCAGACGGCAAATACAGCAAAGATGATATCACAGACCGTATTAAGCTTAGCGTAGTGACAGAGTTTGGCAGATTCCAGGAATATATCCGCGAAATCAAGAATAATCAGGACTAGTGTTCCACACCTAGATATATATATATATAAATATATATGATTCCAGGAATATATCCGCGAAATCAAGAATAATCAGGACTAGTGTTCCACACCTAGATAAGCTTTTTTTCTTCAATAGTTCTGATTTGGGGTTTGAGAGTAAATCAGTATTTTTGCAGTTTTTGGTTGATATTTTTGCCCCTTGGATCCGATTAGGTGGATCAGCATATTTTTGCGGATCCGGATCCAGGAAGCCAGAATCTTGTGGATCCAACAGATCCGGATTTGGATCATAAGCACTGATATATACATTAGTTTAAAGGAATATATTTGCAAAATTATGGATAATCAGGACACACCTAGATATATATTATATATCAACAATCCTTTAGTATTGCAATTATTATATGACATGTAATTATACATAAATAAAGNGAGATAATTATTACTTGAAATTTTCAGCTTACCATGTTTGATCATAATTAGCGTTTTAGACGTAAAATCCAGATTCTAAATTTTAAACAATGGCCCAAAAGGGTGTAAGTCATTAACTCCCCTCAACGCATAAATTCCAAACACATAAAAAATATTTTTAAAGAGGTGCAGGAAGGGGGGGGTCGATTTTTAACAAAATATATACCCTTGCAACGGCCAAAAAAACTCTTCTCTGTATTTTCATTTACATATTTAATTCAACAACCTTTTATACAAGTTTTCAACAATGGAATATTTTTTATATCTTACATCATTAATATCGAATATCAATATATCAGGATATCTAGGTTGCATGTTTAATAAAGCTGACACAAATGGTGCTGAGTGTGGGAATGATTATACAACTTATTAAACCTAGTCCTAAACAATATAAGTCTTATTCATTAAAGGAGATATTCTTCAAATTGCTCAAAACCGTCGAAGAAATCATAATGTTTTAGAAACTTTTCTAATTATTTTCCTAAATTTTTATAAAGAACAAAATATTAAATCGTTTTGAAAAAGTGAATTCAAGATTCAACACCTTAAACTGTTCAAGTAAACCCTCCATGCAAAGATGGCAATACCCTATGCACAACGGTACCCTTAAAAGCGTTGTCTGATCAAATATGAATTATTTGTCAATGTTTATACTTTTGAAACCTGATTATTTCATTTGTGGGTTCTCTGGAAAAGTGACTTCCGTATTCCTACTATAGGAAAACTATAGGAAAACTATAGGAAAACTATAGGAAAACTATAGGAAAACTATAGGAAAACTAAAGGAAAACTAAAGGAAAACTAAAGGAAAACTATAGGCAAACTATAGGAAAATTATAGGCAAACTATAGGAAAACTATAGGAAAACTATAGGAAAACTATAGGAAAACTATAGGAAAACTATAGGAAAACTATAGGAAAACTATAGAAAAACTATAGGAAAACTATAGGAAAACTATAGGAAAACACTTATAAACCTAGAAAAACAACATCTTCCACTCTGTTGATTCGAAAAAGGTTTTAAGGGTACCGTTGTGAATCAGACGATGGCCTCTCTGCATGGATCACTTAAAATTACGCTTCAGACCCTTTAAGTACAAGAAAACCAGTTTTCTGACAAAGCCCCTCGGATTATTCTAAGAACGTGTTTGTGTGGTAATCCTAATCTAAAAATTAGGGTTTTATGTCTATTTTAAAATAGGTGAACAATCCCTTTAAGGTTGCCAAGGTTGAGATATACCTGAAAAGATTGCATGTCCAAGAGAAGCAGAGAAGCGCTATTGTGGTCACGTGATGGATAAACATCTCGACAAAATCCTTCCTCTTCACGTCGAAGAACTGTGAGAAGGAGAGAGACCAGTAGAAGGAGAGCTCCACCATGTAATACCACCAGACTTCCTGGGGAACATCATGGTGTGGATAGTTGTACCTAGACAATATACAATATACAATATACAATATACAGTATACAGTATACAGTATACAGTATACAATATAGAATATATAGAATATAGAATATAGAATATAGAATATAGAATATAGAATTATACAATATACAATATACAATATACAATATACAATATACAATATAAAATATACAATATACAATATACAATATACAATATACAATATAGAATCTACCAGCAGTATCTGATCCTAGAACCTACCAGCAGTATCTGATCCTAGAACCAATCAGCAGTATCATAGAACTTACGAGGAGTATCAGATCCTAGAACCTACCAGTAGTATCTGATCCTAGAACCTACCAGCAGTATCCTAGAACCTACCAGTAGCATCGGATCCTAGAACCTACCAGCAGTATCTGATCCTAGAACCTACCAGCAGTATCTGATCCTAGAACCTACCAGTAGTATCCTAAAACCTACCAGTAGTATCCTAGAACCTACCAGTAGTATCCTAGAACCTACCAGTAGTATCCTAGAACATACCAGTAGTATCTGATCCTAGAACCTACCAGTAGTATCCTAGAACCTACCAGCAGTATCAGATCCTAGAACCTACCAGCAGTATCTGATCCTAAAACCTACCAGTAGTATCTGATCCTAGAACCTACCAGTAGTATCTGATCCTAGAACCTACCAGTAGTATCTGATCCTAGAACCTATCAGCAGTATCTGATCCTAGAACCTACCAGCAGTATCTGATCCTAGAACCTACCAGCAGTATCTGATATTCCAAAGCCAGGGTTTGTCCCAGAGACAGATAACTCCGTATGTAAAAACACAAGAGTAGTAGAACCATCTCCAACCAGTCTCACAGAATTTCTGCATGGTAGTCGGCTTCCCTGGAGAAAGAAAAATGTGTGCGTACTAGTCTACTGGGAAGAAAACATGTTTGTGTAATGTAAAGGGTTATCAAAGATACAGAGAGGTATATTTCTATTTCCAAAATCATTTCAGGATAAAGTCAGCATTTTACAAAAGCAATGAAGCCAAGAAAATAACCAGGGGGTCGTGTAGTTTTCATTGGAATGTTTTATAATTTACAATTTTTGCGTAAGATAATATAAGGATATTTTTTTACCGTACAATCTTCTTCTTTTTAACCAGTATTCTATCTGTCTCTCTCTCATGTTTAAATCAGCAGCCAGCTAAACATTATTAAATGTTTTTATTTGGTTTTCTTTCAAGTTCATGTTTAAACTAACAGCCAACTAAACATTATTTAATGTTTATATTTGGTTTTCTTTCAAGTTTATTTTTAAACTAAAACCCAACTAAACAATATTTAATGTTTATATTTGGTTTTCTTTCAAGTTTATTTTTAAACTGACAGCCAACTAAACATTATTTAATGTTTATATTTGGTTTTCTTTCAAGTTTATTTTTAAACTAAAACCCAACTAAACATTATTTAATGTTTATATTTGGTTTTCTTTCAAGTTTATTTTTAAACTAAAACCCAACTAAACATTATTTAATGTTTATATTTGGTTTTCTTTCAAGTTTATTTTTAAACTAAAACCCAACTAAACATTATTTAATGTTTATATTTGGTTTTCTTTCAAGTTCTTGTCAAATCGACCGACAACAAATAATAATAGATTGCGTATTGAACCAGGAGTAGACAGCAAAATACATGGTGCGGGACCATATTTTCCAAAATGAGGAAAACTTCTCAACTAAAGAAGGCAAAATTCTCAATTTTAGAAGGTACAAAACAGGCCGACAACATTAAGAAATTCCGGAATATTGTGTTCATAGTGTTGAGAATGTGTCTAAGATGAAAAGATTTACGAATTAACGTCAGCGTGGATAGAAGATGATTTTAAAGTATTCACTTAATTCCAATGTTTATTGAGACGTAAATGATAACGTTCTAACTAAAATACGGTCTAATCTAACCTCTGATGCTGACATATCCTTACTACTGAAAGGAGCTCAATAAAGGTTAAGATACCACTATATTCGTAAATGTCAAGAATTCTTTGTATCAAATATAAGTTTGGATTACTACTAACCGTCTCAAAATTCTTGATATTTAATTGTTCAAATTTTAGAGAACCTCCCAAAAAATAAAAAGTCATTGTAGCTCGATTAGGAAAGTTTCTTTTTTAAATATTAGAACTATTACCTTGGGTATGTTTATTTGGTATGATTTGTTTTTCTTGGTTAAGCTGAATTCTTTCTCCAGAACTGAGTTTGTAGATGGTTTTATATGCTTGGAATCTTTTATACCAAACGAGAGTCCCAGAGGTTTGAATATGTATCTGAATATGAACAAAAATTATTTTCCTCTTTTTTATTTTAATTTTTTTTGTATCTCTATCTTTAAAACTGGAAACACGACTGTCGGTGTTTTAAAATGAGGTCCTCGACAGAATTATTTCTTCGTAAAAATTATAAAAAAAAATAAAAAAGACTAATTTCTGACCTTTCAAAAATAGTCCTTAGGAGAAGGATAAAAAACGCAACCGGGATCGGATACCAAAGATCCGTGAACTCCGTGTATACTCCGTCCTGAGTTGGTTGCACATCCTAGAGAAATCAGATTTTAAACCATGATAGTTTTTACACGTTTTATTCAGTTAGAGATAATTGTATCCCCCCCCCCAAAAAAAAAAAAAAAAATTAATNGGGGGGGGGGGTGGTCTATTGTTTCGACTTTCGATAAAGACTCCAGATTAAAGCAATTAAAATCACTCAGACAAGAAAGATATCCAATTTTTAATTTTTACACAATTTGAGAATTAATGCTTCTATTTTATTCTTTTTTATTGGTGCAGTTTCCTCACCACTTTCCGCTGAAGGATGTAATATTTTTGAGCTGTGAACATTGAACATGTAAAAATATCAGCTATTTATTTTTAAAGTTCATATATAAGCCGAAAATCTATAAAAAAAAAAATAAGTTTCCTTTAAGTCGCAGTTTTCCAAGATAATATTATAGGAGATATCGAATATTGATATTATTGAAAAAAAAAACAATTAACTAATATTTGGAAATAGTTTCTGAGATTAAGAAATGCACAAAATGCACAGAATGGCATAAAATATAAGAAACAAATGGACAAAAAGCCATAGTAAATAATGCGTTGGTTTTACAGAATCATAAAAGTATTCGTGATCGCAGTTCTTGCATAATACAGAAGTTTTATCCAAAATGATGAAAACCGAGAAATATATACCCAACCCCTTTTCATCAATAAAGTTTTAAACCTGCCATTATAATCCCACTGGATTAAATCTATCAAACAACACCAAGTTACTTGTTTATAACTACTTTATAGAGTGTGTGTGTGTGTGGGGGGGGGGGGATAAAACAGAGTTTTAAACTAATGAGGCTTATGGGGGGAGGGGGGACTTAAAAAACCAACACACATCCACCCCCCAAAGCTGCTTAAGGTTGACATAAAATTGACCAAATTCGCTGTAAAAAATTCTAGGGGGGAATTTGTTTCGGCGCAATAATTCAATTACTTCCCCCCCCCCCCTGGCAAATATCATTAGCCGCCCCTAGTTATAGTCTCGTTAAAATAGTAATATTACAGATTATACCTATCCAATATTTTTAAAACACTGACCCTTTTAATGTATTTATCCATCTCCATCTATACTTCACCTTCCAAGTTGTATTTGGTGGAAGCCAGATACTATCCTCCCAGAATACGTGAAATATATATTCTGTCCCCAACTCCATTCTCATAGCATCTCAGTCTGAAATATTGAAACTATTTCAAAACCAATTTAATGTCAAGAAAAGAGTTCAAACCAAAAGAATAAAAGGAAAGAAATCAAACAAACTTTATATATTTTGTCAAGAACTTGGATCAGATTCTCTGGAATATCCAGGTGTAGGCTCTAGTGATATATTTCCTTGGGGGGCTGAATAATAATCTTCCTCCGTCCGAACTGCAAGAGACATTAATGTTTCTCTGTTTGCAGGTTTCACAGCCACATCTTCTCTCAGATACAAGGATTCGTCCTCAAGAATGGAGTAAAGAGGTTCAACCCCATCTGTATTCACATTTCGAATCCTATCCGCGAGATTAATTGCGGATTCGAGCCTGTCGATACCTGTTACATTAGCAAAATCCACCAAAGATAATCTTTCGAGTTGTCGAATTGTTTCCAAATCAATCTTCGTCTCCGGTATTTTCATTTCGATGGTTTCTTTAACTAACATCGACTGTACTGCATGGTGGAGTTTAGCGCAGGTAAATCTTGAAGAAGATAAATTGCGTCTCAGGACAAAGATTAACATGGTCTCTCACCAACGACACACCCTGGGGCTACTAGCAGACGGCCTGTTTATCAACCAAGAAAGGTATGCTGATACTGACTGCAGTGTGACTGGATACAGGCCGGCCTGCAGCTGCAACCCGTACTCATCTTTATCAGGGTTATTAGTCACATGACATTCATTAATTTTTTATCAGACTCATGTAGAACCTTTTTTAGAATAAAAATGTTTTGTCTAAAACCAATTTTAAGCATGACATCTTGTATTATCTGTAAAAATTTCATAATTGGTCTGTTATATTCTAGTTTGACAGATAGAGTAGGCCAAGTTTCTGTATTTGTTGCTATGCTAGACTGATAGAGATTAGTGAAACGTACTTGTCATCCTCCGACCTTGTAAGAATGTAGCTATAAACTGCCTATAGTTCTTCTCATCCCATTGAATGATTGAAAAGAACCAGAATTCCCAAAATAGAATTCTATGTCATAATTCGGGTTTAGCAGTAATTCCAATGAAATTCACCATTCAGAATGCATATCTAATCCTTGACGCGTTAAAATGACTGAATTTTAATTTCATCACGTAAATTATATACGTGAATCATTCGATTCAATTCACAGATTGGGTTTCACAATGTCTCTCTGTAATTATACGTTAACAGGAAGTTACTGTTGAAACTAAAAAGTTTCATGTTTCTTGAAACCGATTCCGGAGAATTTCTTGTGACAAGCGGAGGAAGGCAGGCGGCCATGAACCACCACTATTTCCCCTTCCGTGCCACATGTTAGCTTTTTCCTTTTCCGGCAGCCATGAGCCACCACTATTTCTTAAGTGCATAAAAGCAAAAATGTGTATATAAATTATTTCTAGCAAAATCTAAAATTTTTAAGAATTGAATCAAAGAATCACTGTTTTTTTTTATTTTTCTCTACTTTATCCCAGAAAGAAGGTTTTAGAAGAGAATCAAAAGTTGGATACTCAGCTTAAGAAATCGAGTTTAAGGATATTTAAGTTTATTTCTCTTCCGGCAGCCATGAGCCACCACTATTTCTTAAGTGCATAAAAGCAAAAATGTGTATATAAATTATTTCTAGGAAAATCTAAAATTTTTAAAAATTGAATCAAAGAATCACAGAATTTTCAAAATTGTAATAAGAAAATTCACAATTTTTAGTTCTCACCTGAAAGCTTTTGAATGGCGGATATTGAGATCAATGCTTGATAAATTTAAAATTTTGCGTGCCATTTAAGATTATATACAGAAACATGAGGGACTCTTTAAATTAAAAACTGTTTTTTTATTTTTCTCTACTTTATCCAAGAAAGAAGGTTTTAGAAGAGAATCAAAAGTTGGATACTCAGATTAAGAAATCGAGTTTAAGGATATTTAAGTTTATTTCACAAGATGAACATGGGATTTTTACATGAGAAAATTATTTTTCTCCCATCTACTTAATTTAAATTTTTAAAAAAACCCCAGGAATGATTGATTTATATTTGATATATTATAAAAACACTGTGTAAAAGTATATAATCACTACAAAATGTTTAGAAACTAAATATTTTAGTTTATATCTTTTACATTAACCATCTTGAACATTAAGCTTTAAACTATTATTATCTCAAAGTGATATTTCAAGTCTTAATAATGTTCAGCTATGTTAATATGTTCATAATCATATGAATGTTCCTTCCTTTATATATCTAAAAGAACGATATTCCAAAAAGGGTTTGTTGAAAAATACAATGCTTGTTATCTGAAAAATTTATGTCGGTTTAAATATTTCACTTTACTACAATAAACTTTTAGTTTCTAAAAGATGAGGAGAGACACCAAGTGTATTGATTTTGCAACTCTATTAAAAATGAAACATGATATCTCATATATTTTACATGTGATATTTACAAGAATTATTATCTAGATATTCTGGCGTACATTACTCATGATTAACACAATAGTAATATGCAAGATCTTGCACAGGTTTCTTTTGCTATGTGTACAACTTAACATGTGAAAAAACAATACAAATTTTCAAAGAATATTTCCACGCTTTTTACCTGGAGGAATCTTCAAGATTGTGAAAAGTAGATATACCACGAGTATAGCATTAGGAGCAACTGTTAATTAATCATGTGAATTATCCTGATTGGCTCTTCACGAGACACTGTCAAGTCAGGGTAGGGTTTACACAGGTTTCTCTATAAAAATATCTTTTTTATTGGGGGTAAACACTGTTTACGCCCGGACTTGACAGTGTCTTGTGAAGAACCAGTCAGGACGTCTCAAGACGTCCTAAATAAGCTTTTTGAGATGCCCTCAGGACATCCTGTAAAGAGAATTTTTTTTGGAGCTCAGGAATGTGTTGTCCTCCACTCTAGAGGACACAAGCACCCAAGAGCCCCTTGTAGATCCCAACGTCAATGCATGGGACACAAGGAAGGCCTGGGAGCGGGAGTTTAGCCTTTATGCCGAAGCAAGCAGGGAGGAGGTTTGCTCCAGGATTTAGGTCCAGGTTGGAAAGCTGCTCCACAGATTACAGGAGCAGGTTAACCAGCATACCTGGAATAGAGATGATAAATATATGATGGATGGATTGGGGAATATAGTAGTTCTGCACTTCAGATTGGATAAACTAACTGAGAGAGCTACTAAGGGACCTAAGTTGTAAAGGAACCATGGCTGATCATTAAACCATCTAGTTATCTCCATATTATAGTATGTATGTATTTATGAATATGTAAATAAATGTAACAGCATTAATGAAAGTATGTTTATTACTTTGGGTGTTAATTATTGCACGAGCAAGTAATTATATAAAGGTTTACTCCGTGTGATGGAGATAACCCGATGTGCAATGTTATCAGGCTGCAAAGATAAGTAATTGTATAAGGGTTAGCTCCAAGTGATTGAGATAACCCAATGTGCAATGTTATCAGGTTGCAAAGATAGTAATTGTATAAGGGTTAGCTCCGAGTGACGGAGATAACCCGATGTGCAATGTTATCAGGCTGCAAAGATAAGTAATTGTATAAGGGTTAGCTCCAAGTGATTGAGATAACCCAATGTGCAATGTTATCAGGTTGCAAAGATATTGATCCCATACAAGTTATATAACTTGAAGTGTGATCTTATCAGAGTTTGCTAATTTAAGTTGCCAATTTATTGCACATTTTTAGTAGTAAGAGAATACTACAGTTGGAAAGTTAGTAGGTCAGAAGTTCAGAAGGGGGGATGTTGCATATAGACAATGTAACATTACCCCCTTGAAGACATCCTATTTCCTGACTTAAGCTCAAATCCAAGACGTCTAAAACCGATTCAGATTCTGGTAGGGTTAACTCCTTGAGATATTTGAAATTTTGTACAGCTTTCAATCCCTTGAACTTGTAATTTTTTTTCTAGAAACTATTAATAATAAGGCACCAGCCATTCCAAGATTGTTGAGAAAATAAATCTACAAAGTTTTAGTTTTTCCAGTCCGATCTTTGATTGTTTAAAAAAAGAAAATATTTTGCAAATGTTAAGGATACTATCTAGATTGACTACTGTGCTGAAATGATTGAATTAGTCCTGTTTTAAGTCGAAATTGACAATTATAAATGGAATATCATTCCCGGAAGACTGTTTGGGGAGGTTTGGATGGTCTACTGTGACGCACATTGCCGCAAATAGGTAAACTGAGGTTTAGAAGCTGTGGGGTGGGGAAGGTTGCCTTCCCACCCTCATGCCATAGGATATGCTATAAGAAATTGATGTAAAATAAGCACAGAGCTTAAACAGCGCTTTTTTCAACAAATTTTTTTTCGCCCCCTCACAAAAGTGTTATTTGCGCCCCTGTATAAATACAGAAATTTTTCTAGGGGAGGAGGCTCACAAAATTTCTTCCCAGAGAGGGGGCTCAGCACCCGNGGTTTACTCCGCGTGATGGAGATAGCCTGAAGTATAATGTTGCCAGGTTGCAAAGATAAGTAATTGTATAAGGGTTAGCTCCAAGTGATGGAGATAACCCGATGTGCAATGTTATCAGGCTGCAAAGATAAGTAATTGTATAAGGGTTAGCTCCGAGTGATGGAGCCCCACTTGTTTATGTTTTTGGTTTGCCATAGGCGGTCCCAGGTATGGGGTGGCAGTCCATTACACATACCCCCCCCTTAGTGAAATTAGGGCGTTCAATTGCACTAATATTTACAGAAAAAAAATTGTGCGGTTGAACAAATATTTTTTGTATTCCAGATTACTTGCAGCTATAAATGATCATGGTTCTAAAATATTCCTGGCGCGAAAATAACATATTCCTGGCAGGAAAATAAAAATTTAAATTAGTCCAATTGAACAAGTAAAGCTCGAATTTGTCCATTTGCACTACAAACTTGTTACTGATCAGCCGACCTCAGTGTGCAAATGTACGTTAGTAGTTTAATCGGACATTAGTGCAAACTATATAGCATCAATTACAAGGGGGGTAAATCTTGAATCCTGAATCCGCCCTTATAATAATTATGGCTGCGTTTCTAGCATCTGATGCTACTTCATATGAATTTAAAACTCTTTCTTTAATACATATTCATTACATCCTTTTTTCATTAAAAAAAGACGACATTAAAGTGACTCGAACCTAGCTAAAGTTATCGAAACCAATTCTTGTATCGACACCTTAAGCGCAGATTCTGGGCTGCTTGCAATATGGCTGACATCTGGAATCTGGGGAGTCTAAGGTTCTTATTTTGTTTTGACGTTTACTACTTATCAGTTAATTTATGTTGTAATTTGGAACGTCGGAAGGGATCAGCAAGATATTTTAAAATGTGAGATTAAAAGATCCTGGATTGTCGGATGACATGACAATTCTTGAGTTCTTTTTCGTGGCCATTTTATGTAAACAATTACCATGAACTTTCAAAATTAGAATTATTGACCTGGTATCTTGTGTCTTGTTAACGATAGATAAGTAAAGCTCTATTCGAAAATGTATTTTCAAAGAAAATTTGTTTGGTTGGGTAAAGGTGTAAGATCTATTTTCCAGATTTTGCGAACAGTTAGTAAAAGTGACATTCAATATTAAATTTTTAAACGACCTTATAAATATCAACAAAAGGAAGGATCTTGATGAACTGACACGGTTATGGCCTAGATCGTCATGTTGAGTTAGTGATGAAAGTGTCGACATGCATAAGTTTCTAGAATTTTTAGCACATTAAAGAATTTTCATAGATTTTCTTCTTATTTACGGCCATATATCTCAAATTTTTCTGCTAGGCTTTCTGAATTTTTTTTAATTGATAACGCGAGAATTTTAAATACTGACGATACAAATCATTTCTGATTTCAAACAATTTTTCACGGATTGTATTGAAAAATCTGCTAACAATTTTTTCTGTTGCATTTCATGTGAAATTATCTTTGTCTACTTACTACACTTTCTCTGAAATGTCCAAATATATGCAATGTCTTCAACCATGAAATGTCCTATCTGTGACAGTATAACATATGAAATTTCTAACTTAAAACATTTCGTTATCCTTAAAATGTCTTGTCTGTTAAATGTTCTGTCTATGAAAGTATTTTTCATAGAATTAAATGTTGCTATGAAACGTCCAATCTATGCAATGTCAAATCTATGCAATGTCATATCTTTGAAATGTTCTGTCTATTATGATTTATGAAATTTAAATGTCTCCATGAAATGTATAATTTACGAAATATCATATTCTAAGAGGTGTTCTGTCTTAAATAATAATATTAAGAAAAATTTAAATGCCTCAATGAAATATCCAGTCTTTGCAATGTCATATCTGTGGAATGTCCTGTCTCTGAAAGTATTATTAATAGAACTTTATGTCTCTTTGAAATGTCCAATCTATGCAATCTAATATCTGTGACATGTACTTTCTATGAAGTGTCTGATATATGAAAGTATTATTTATGAAATGGAAATGTCACTTTATAAAATGGCCCAGCACCAGCTGCGTGCTCAAAGAAAGAAAGAAAAAAGTTTCTGTTCCTTAGCTCTGCTGTATCACCTTATAACTGTATCTTTAATGTCAAGTTAGGGATCAATTATTTCTTGAAAAATCGTTCTCTTCCCTTGCACATTTTTTAAAATAAGATCATGTTGTTCAAAACTTTTTAAATTATTGAAGCCTTTGAATTTCTGCAAGGAATGACATTTATATTTGTGGGGTTGGGAGTATTTACTAAAGATGTACAAATTCTAATTTAAACCCCAAGGGGGTCGGGTCCTGTGGCAAACTTCTCAAATCTTTCATTTTTGAAAGAATTTTACGATTAATTCTTTTCTTTTCTGTTGAGATTCATGATTAGAGGGCAAAAGAGTTTTTTAGCATGTTTTGGTTGGTTTTTTAATCCTTGGATCTGCATCGTTTTGCGGATCCGGATCCAGGAAGCCAAAATGTTGCTGATTCATTGTATCCGGATCCGGATTGTGAACACTTATTAGAACCTAATCGAATTTCCTTTTTCAGGTTCTAACTACAGTTCCCTATTCGCTACAGACATTCAGAACATAATGGCAATGGTAAGATTTTTCCTTTATTTCAAACACCAAATTTGCAGTTCTAGTTGTTAGAAATAACTACACAAATTGGGGGGGGGGGGGTCATAAGGAAAAAGTGTAATTATCAGGACCAGATCTAAATCTGTATATTTAACTAAGTTCTAAATCATAACACTTGAAATAGTTGTTTTCATAGGCTGGCTTAGAAAAAGGATTTTAAAGTTCTTTTCAGTATATTGACTTCCTATTAATTTCTCAAGTAATTAGCAACCAACACCTAACTTATCCATTCTTCAATAATCAATTATGAGATTTCAATCCGGAAACTACATTTGCCATAATTCAACTTTTTAACAGTCATTACTTGTCAAATAGCTCGATCCCTAAACTTTCCTATCCACAGAGATCGGCCCCCTCACCTGCCCTATCTAAAGAGCTCGGCCCAATAACCTGCCCCATTCACAGAGTTCGGCCCCATAATCTGCCCTATCTTAAGAGCTCGGCCCACTAACCTGCCCTATCCACAGAGCTCGACCCCATAATCTGCCCTATCTAAAGAGCTCGGCCCACCAACCTGCCCTATCCATAGAGTTCGGCCCACTAATCTTCCCTATCCACAGAGTTCGGCCCACTAATCTTCCCTATCCACAGAGTTCGGCCCACTAATCTTCCCTATCCACAGTTCAGGTTTGTATATCTTGAGTCGCGGAATTTTTTTCTTCACTCGGTGTAACATTTATAGGACATTAAAAAACAAATATGCAAAATAATGGATTTTTGAAATTTAGAGCTAAGAAATTCAATTCAAGAGCTAAGCTTTGTAGGGTTGATTGATTGTTTTTTAAACAGAGTTTGGCCCACTAATCTTCCCTATCCACAGAGTTCGGCCCGCTAACCTGCCCTATCTACAGAGTTCGGCCCACTAACCTGCCCTATCCACAGAGTTCGGCCCACTAACCTGCCCCATCCACAGAGGGCCCCTGACCTGCCCTATTCAAAGAGCTCGGCTTCCTGACCTGTCCTTTCCACAGAGCTCGGCCCATTATCTGTTGCTCGGTCCCCATTGTAATATGGCAAGGTGATTGTAGCAAATGAAACTGAGCCCAAAAATACGATCAATATATCAGAAGTGCAGTTTACCGATGTCGTTAGTGTCAAACTGCTTTCAAAATTTCATATTAGACAGCCTAGTCTTTGTTCCTTCTAACTCCACAAATATTGTTTAGCCCCCTAGGCCTAGGCAAATATGTATATTAACCCTATCTTGTTTAGCCCCCTGGGCAGGGGGGTGGGGGCCCAGCTATGGGGATGATGAGTAAACCAATGGTTCCTGGAGGCTCCTGGTGGAGGTATCCTGTTCCTCCAATGATGCATCAGGTTACATCTCCTCCTCCTCACTCTAGACCTGGAGACACGTTGTCCAGAACCAACCTGTATATCCGGGGACTAGCTCCGCATACTACAGACAAGGATCTTGTTATGCTCTGCCAAAAGTAAGAATTTTCATTTGTTTTTTATTTGTATACACATTTGGCTTATTTTTTTGTAGCCAATAAACGTCAAATTTGTGGTATCTAACATGATCAAAGGGAAGATTTCTCGATTTGAATTTTTTTTTGAGAATCTATATTTGCTTTTAGAAAAATCCGCAAAATTTTGAGTTAAGAATTTCGAAGTTAAATCAAATATGGCGGATTGAAAAGAAACATTTATAAACTAAAATTGTTACAAGAAATGGGCCTAGTTTCATACCTTTTCCCCCAATGTGAGAAAATGGTTTTCGATAGTTCGACTTATTCATTGTCATCAGGAAACCAAACTTTACAGAAAGAAGACTTGTTAGAAGTATTTTTGTAAAGAAGTGAAAAATATCCTTGGAATCAAATGACTATTGACTGCGTACAAGGGCGGACATTTAATTGCCATTACAACATCTTGAAAAATTAATTTTATATATAGAGAAAATTGCGTCGAAATATTTACATATGTATGTGTGTTATAGCCGACCTAACCGTAACATTGAAACTAAAACAATAAGTTTTACAATTGCCCCGTAGGTACCATAGGCTGGGTAGAGCAGAGGGCACATTACTAAATATAAACAAAATTTGACAATGTTAATAATTGTTTTTTTCTTATTTTAGATTTGGACCGATAAGTTCGACCAAGGCTATCCTTGACAAAGCGACTAACCGATGCAAAGGATATGGATTTGTCGACTTTGAGTCTCCCAACAGCGCCAATGCAGCCGTGAATGAACTTCAGCACCAGGGTTATCAGGTATAATACTACAGTGGGACCCATAATACTGTGGAATAGGACGACAACTTGTCAGACTCAAATTATGGATATAAATATTAAAATGAACATTTTTATGGACACCACTATTATCTTACTTAAACTTTAAAGTTATATTGAACATTTCGACATCATGTAAGATAATTTATTTTGCAACTAAAAATAAATACATGAAAGTAGTTGGTTTTATGTAGTTTATCGGTCTGCATGAACTCATCAAGATGAATATTCAGACAGCTTAAGGGTAAATCATATAGAATAGTGTAAAGTGCGTTATCTGGTTATATTTAAGAAATTCTTTAATTTGGTTATACCTATCTCTCAACCCTAATATCATTGCAAGCAGGGATGTTAACCTAACCAAAATTACTTCTTGCTAAAAAATTGTTATCAGGTTTGTATATCTTGAGTCGCGGAATTTTTTTCTTCACTCGGTGTAACATTTATAGGACATTAAAAAACAAATATGCAAAATAATGGATTTTCGAAATTTAGAACTAAGAAATGCAATTCAAGAGCTAAGCTTTGTAGGGTTGATTGATTGTTTTTTAAATCTTTTTTTCCTCCAGTAGTTGCTCCATAGAGATCTTTAGTAGCTTCTAAAGTGGCAATGTTGTAATTATTTCATATTAAAAGTTATGCATTCCCTAAAACTATTAAAATATTTTCGTAAGTTGAGGTAGTTGGTTATACAAAATTCCGTTATTTGGTTACAATTTTACATTAATATGAAACAGCACAATGGTTGAATTAAAACTTTTGCTCGAGCCGTAATTCCTTCAACCCGACTTTAAGAGCCGATCTTCGACCCAACTCTGACGACAGCTTGTGTCACGTGATTAACAGCTGCAATATCTTCTGCTCGAGTAAAGGAGTTAGGCCCAATTAAAATAAATGGTTTTGGTGGAGAATAAGGCTTAATGTTAAGTCTTGCTCTCATAAAAACCCGGAATGCACCAATTCCTACCGTGAAAATCCACCAAATAGAATATTAAACCGGGTTTTTGAACTCCACTCTGTAGAAAATGCTGCTTGAATTAGAAAGCTCAAGTCGTAAATAAGTATCAACGATAGCTTAGACCCGAGCCGTATTTTCCCGAGTTTTTTTTTTTAAATCGCGGGCTCAAATTATGGGTTTTTTTAACTAAAAATGCCTGGTCCAGTATGCCCAAATATTATGTTGTGAGCAAGGTATAGGTAGTCACTAAAAAGTTCTCAGGGATGACAATATATGTGCAAAGTGCTTTGCAAGAACTGGATTGTTTCCTTGAAAACAAGCTCCCAACAAACTCAAGCTAATGTCAGGAACTGTTCTCAAGAGGACTGAACATCCTGAGCAGCTTGATGATCCTCTTCTCGCTGAGCAGTTTGATGATCCTTTCCTCGCTGAACACCTTGATGATCTTTTCCTTGCTGAACATCTTGAGGATCGTCTCTTCGCTGAACAGCTTGATGATCCTTCCCTCGCTGATCAGCTTGATGATCTTTTCCTTGCTGAACATCTTGAGGATCGTCTCTTCGCTGAAAGCTAGATGATCCTCAATAATAAGAGCATGAAAGATTTATGTTGGAGGAAAGGTTTTTTACTTTTATTGGTGCTGAGGGTGAAAAATATTAAAATCAAATATTTTAAATTTTTCATTCTTGTCGGATTTGGGTGTTTATTTTTGTTCGTGTTTTTTTTAAGTATAAAATAATTTTAACATTTTTTGTTAGGAATAGACTCATGAAAAATAGTGTTTTATAAACATTTTGACTGTACCAGCTTAAACGATATTTGAACACTATAACCAAATAACGCAAATTACAACCAACCTAAGTGAAATATATGATCGACCAAATACAGAAATTTTGATATGCTTTAAAGCAACCTGTGTATCTGAAGCAATGATGAATCATTTCCATTTTTTCTTCGGTTTATTACTCAAATATCTTCAAACTTTAGATATTTTTTTTCAACCAATTTGTGTTTAACTATTCTGAGTTATTGGTGTTTATCCTTAACATTAGAAAAATTAAGCTGAACTGTAATCAAATAACGCACTTTACTCTACCTATTTAAGACTGTATTGAAGACCTAAGATAGATTTTCAAATTTAAAGAGTATCAGTGTTTTCGGAACTTACATTTATAAAATAGACTTTGTACATGCAAGGAAGGGGACAGGAGACTATATATCTTGCAGAAACAAACCTTAGATTGTTAACACCAAACTCAGATGATCGGTTCAAAGGTTTAAAAGCGGGTTATGAATAAAAAGTTCATGAATTTTATTAGAGAATAATTATTTTATTGACTATTTGTAATTTACAACAATTTCCTCTTATCAAGTACAATAAAATACAAATTTATTCATTACTTTAAATTGCATTAGTTTGCTAAATCAAAAATTAAGGATTTATTAAATTTGTTATTTTTTTAAAATAAATAACGTACGAGTTTTGCAACAACCCCGGTGGTAGGGAGGAGTGGGCTTTTTACCCATGTTGTTGTACATTAATATTACCAATGATTATTCGAGGAGTTTTTATAAAAAAAAATGATAAAGGACGATTTTACTAATTTACAATGATCGGAGAGTAATTAAAGTGCACAGTCGCTTCAAGAAAATAAGATAATAAAGAATGTCGATGTAACAAGAGGATATATATATATATATTATATATTTGTTTTGTCTGTCAATCCATTACACATCAAATGTGGGGCCGAGGGTTTGGTGCCGGTCAAAACAAAACATTTGCCTCAGTAGAATTCGGTTAAAAACAAATTTTGAAAATCCATTCCAACAATAAAGAAAGCAGAAAAAATTTACGACTTTTTTAATTTAATGTGCACTTAAAGCACCCTTAAACCTAGAACTGAAAGAAAAAGATTCATTCTGAACATTTTTGAAATAACAGAGAAATGTTGAAATGGGGTGGAAGGAGTGATCTGAAAAACATTAAACCTAGCTGGTATTTGAAACAGACTTTTGGTGAAAAAGCTTTAAAAACATAGCAAAGTGTGGAAAAAAAAAAACATTTTTTTCCCCAATTTTTATTATTTTATTTAAAAGAAACACAAATGATAGAAAAAATGTTCATCCTGATTCCTAAAAAAATTAAGACAGGACTCCCAGATGTATTCAAATTGGTCAAACTCACACTCCCCTTTGGTTTAGTCTATGTGTATTGTATGATATTAATTATGTATAAAGTAGACATGAGCAGAAACGTACTTAATCAACTCAACCTTATTTAACCTTTGTAGCTTCTCCAGTATGAGACAAAATAAGTGAATCATCGAGTATTAATCTGGATAGAATGATTTGATAATAAATGATGAAACTGAAATAAAACTAGTACAGGGTTACCCAGAGAAAGTGAGACTATAATGACGACCTAAAACTCTTAAAATACGATGCGCTAAAGGTTGCAGTTATCTCAATGTGAGGAACATGTTGTAAAATGGTACTGTTTATGATTTGTCAAAGAAAAAAATAAGTTTACAGTTGCACAGAATCATTAATATAAGAAAACAGACGTGCAAATTCCGTACAGTCGTCTCTGATGTACCCTTCTTAGTGAGTAGTCCTGTATATTTAATATTTATATATTCAGGCCCAGATGGCCAGACAAGCCGAGCAGGATCCTACGAACCTGTACATAGCCAACCTACCCCAGAATATCAAGGAGAATGACCTCGAGTCCTTGTTCAATCCTTATGGACAGGTTATATCTACTCGGATACTCAGGGACGCAAGCCAACAGAGCAGAGGAGTAGGTTTTGCCAGGTTAGGTTTTAGATTTAAAAAATCCATAAATTGGAATGTAAATTACATGTTTTACAAACAAATAGTAAAAGTACATGAAGCTAAATAACTTAAATAATTTTTATTTTATAAATGAACATGTATATATATTCTTCTAGTGAAAAATTTTTGCATTCTCATTTGTAAACTAAATGTTTGTTACAATGTGAACTAAACATCTCAGTGAATTGTTAAAACTCGCAAATATTCTTCTAACAAATTTAATACGTTACGTCACAACCCACCCAACTTCTGCTATCATTAGATATTAAGGTTTAAATAACATTGTACTGTGTACATTGTGTAACAAGTGTATTCAAGGTGCAATTACATCTTTGGACTAGACTTACATTTTATATTTAATTATTTAAATCTCGTAAAGGAAACAGGGGTTTATAAAATACAATTAAATTTTCTTCGAATCTTGGAAGATCTACATCTAATTTTGGAATGCGTTATGTCTTAATTTAAGATTCTGTCTGTCTGTATCTATTAAACGTCAAAACGGCTGAACCGATTATGCCCAATTTTTTTGTGGAAATTCATGACCCCTGGAAATGTTTGTGGGTAGTTAAAGATGAAAAGTTTTGACCTGAAAATATAATTACGACATTCATTGTTTTCGAAAATGGTCTAATTTAAACAGAATTATCCGCGAAATAAAATTTTCAAAGAAAAATGGCGGCTTGAAGCGCAAGTCTAATGAAAGAATATTATTCGACACTTTCCTGATATATGGTTTTAGCACAACAACTCACATCAATTATTAATTAGTTTTTGAACCAATTTTATTATCTCCTAGAGGAAAGTAAAAGAAGCTAAGATTGATTGCCTCATAGGGTTTTCAGCATTTTTCGCATTTTTCGCGAAAATAAATGTTTTCGCGACCATTTCGCTTCATTTTCGCATTTCGTTTGCTCGCGAAATATTGATTTTCTAAAAATAAAAGCAAAATTTTAGCAAAAAAGTTGCAAAAAATCATATAAAAAAGACTAAAATTGAGAATACAAGACTCATTTTCAAAGAGGGATTTATCCGCGAGCCCAATTGATGGATTAACACAATATATAAATATAGATTTAAGAACGACATCAGACAATTCATAGATTTGCTTGAAAATGCTTTCTCGACCGCTAAGATCTTTCTTCTTAAAGCACAAAATAAAATCTACTATGGGAAGAACCAAAATAATAAAAAGTTCTTTAAAGCAATTAATTTTTGCAGCTATAAAACTCATGGTTTTCACAACATTTTCGCATTTTCGCGAAATTTTGCTTAGTTTTGGCTTCATTCATTTTCGCAAAAAATTTGCAAATGCAACCTAAAATTTTCGCATTTTTTCACGAAACGTTTCGTTTCGCTGGAAACCCTAATCAGAAGCAATGCACCAGCAAGTGAACAATTGAAATTGAATTCAGAAAATAAAAAGAATAGCTTACATAATAGTAAAAACATAAAAAGCAAGCAGATTTTAAAATTGTATTATTTTATTTTATCGTGATTTTTTTTCATCCGGCTTTATTATCTTAATCATCTGTTCACTGCACAGAGCAGTCATTTTTGTTTCAAATAAATTTTAAATCAATGTAAGGTCAGCCTTTGCTCACATACCAACACAAAGGAAGATGAATGATTATAGAAATGAGAAATGTTTTTTATTTTTTTATTTTTTTGTATGGATTTACGGAATTTTTTTCTGAAATGTACGGATTGTTCGGATTTTTGTTTACGGATTTTACGGATTTTATTTTTCAAATGTACGGGTTTTTGTACGGATTTTTCTCAACGTTTTGGCTACCCTGAAAGTTTTATATAATTTGAGACAATATTTAGGATGGAGAGTAGAGAGAAGTGTGAACAGATAATATCTCTGTTCAACGGTCGACCCCTGGCCAACTCTAATCAGGCCCTCGTGGTAAAGTTTGCTGATGGAGGAGGGAGCAGGAGGAAGACCAATGTATCAAGTCCTGATCCAACCTGGAGCGGACACGGGAGCACGGACGGAAGCGTGAGTAATTCTTATTCAAGACGGAGATATTTCTCATCAATCATTCAGTTTATTAATTGATTTAGTTTTTAATAATTTGACATACGGACTAGTTTAATTACTAACCTTGATGCATTCCAATTTAATTCTTTTAATTCTTAATATAGCAGTTTGTTCTTCATTTTGACGTTCTTTATTTATTAATATTATTGGTTACAATATAAAGGATACATTTTTTAACGGGGGGGGGTTACTTGTAAAAAAAATATTAAACAAATCGCCTAATACGGTTTTAATTAAAATGGTTTCTAGGCGAGGTTGAATAGTTTTGATTGTATTCCTACGTGGTTTCTTAATATCAATACACAAACGCTTTTCTTTCCGACAGTGAAATTTTTGTCCATTTTAAGAAATGATACACCCATCACCTAAAATAAACATTTCCCCCATTGTGTTGGAAAGTGTTGCCTTTTTTCATTCTTGAAGAAAAGAAAAACCAAATTTACAGGGGTGAATTTTATTGTAAAGAAAGTATCAAAGGATTTTTTACATTCAATTTATTTCCAATTTTCATATTTTTCGTAATTCTTTCTTCTCTAGCCGCTCGAATCTCAAGTCTAAAGTTTGGAAAGTAGGGATTAATTTTGAATTTGTTCACAATAAATCCCGGCGTAGAAAATGTATTGCATGTGTAGACTGTGTTAAATATTACATGAAAATATTTCAATATTTCACATATTTTATTATTTGAAAGATATTTAATTTAATTTATTTTATTCAATTAGGATAACGCGTTGAGTCCTGAATCCCGGCACAGCAATGGCTCCGCTGTAGGATTAGGTGGAAACCAGGGAATGCAAACCATCACTTATGCTCATCCTCGTCCTTATCCTTTCCTCGTCCAGGGCGGAGCTGCAGCAGCTACTGGAGCTCCTTTAGTGGCTGGAGGTCAACCTACTGCCTGGGTTCCAACCAGTGGAGGTGGATTTATTATACAATCTCCTACTGCCAATCCTATGGAGATGTATCCAATATCTTCTCCAGGTGGAGGTAATAGCTTAAGGCGGTTCAGAATTTTGAGTATCGGAAAGTAAAAAATATTCATCTATTTTTCTGATTTATCAAATAATATGAGAAGTTCTGAATATTGCTAAACATTGAAAATTTTGGATTTTATCCGGATCATAATTAAAGGGACTGTGCTCGTTATCTCAAGTGACTCTCAATTAAAAGAGTGGCGGCACCGATTCACAACGTTACCCTTAAAAGCTTTCTCTGATACAGAATGTAGGAGATATTCCTGCTTTTTAATCGTTTCCCCTTAGTGACCTGCGCATTTCTTCTGCAGAAAAAAATGAAAAGATTATCAGATTTGATCACTTTTCAAGTTAGAAAAACGAAAATATATTTCAAACTGTTGATCAAACCGTTTTGAATTGGGGCATGCCCCTCATTAAATGGAAGGTCCCTTGAAATTAGACTGACAGTCTCCTTACTTGAGTCTGGATTATGTTCAGGATTTCTAGGAGTGAAAGTGCTACTGATGAATTATAATGATTATTCTGAATACCAGTATTTACATTTTAAAAGGGTAATGTCAGATTCTTGGAAGTTTCATGCTGATGCATAAAATATTTAACAACGCCGGCCAACCGACAATTTAAACATTTTTAGCTCTTTAATTCAAGATTCGTAACAAACTATTTACTTCGTTTTATTTGTTTTGAAAAGAAAGTTTTTTTTTGCGAAACATGAATTAAAGTAGATTTTTTTACCTTTAATATGATTAATATAAAAAAGAAGATTTGGATGCTTACGACGTCAATATAGAAGTGGTCATAGGAACTTGTATAATGTATTTACCAATTTTAAAGTAAAAGCATGTACATTTTATGTGTAATTCCGCAAATCCATTCTCTAGACTAATTTACAGGACTGAATACCGACCTTTTACAAAATATTAAATTATAATATGTCTCAAAACTTCTCAATTAATTTTTTATCGATATAAGATTTTACAAAATCATAATTTTTCAAGATTTAAGTTAACAATTAGTACTAATTAAAATTATCTAGGGTTTAAAACGCCTTTTTATTCTAGTTGATCCGTATACATGCTTGGTGTCTGGGATGCAAGGATTAGTTCTAGGAAACCATGGAGCATATCCCGGAGCTCCTCCAAATCTCGCTCAGGGAACACAGATGTTTCAGAACCCGTTCGGCTACCAGATATTCGGGATTCCATCCTTCCAGGGAGGAACGGGTTCCGCTTCTCTTACACCCCTGGAACAGAACGGAGGGGGACCACCCTCCCTTCTCCCTCCTGAGGACCCAACCTGTTCCCAGCCCCCGCCCCAACCTCTTCAGGTTCAGGAAAAAGTACAGGGTGGAGAGTAGGAGGAGTGTAGATCCAACCTGAACCAGATGACTAGGAAGGAGACACCCAACTCTATCTGTGAATACATCCAGAGCCAAAACTGTGGATTGTGGAACCATTGTCCAGGGTTTGGTTTATCTAAGCCCTGTCTTAACAACAGTTTATCCCTGAAATCATCCAGGATTAAAGGATCAACTCATGTACTCCTCCCAACAGGATGGAGTGGAGTAGAAAACCGTCAACTATTTAGGGAAAATTAAAGTTTCTGATTTTGATCAATATGCTTGAGATGTAGAAAAATTCTAGTTCACCACTGCACCCCATTCCTCCATTATCATCCATTCAATTTTAATACCAGATTCTATCCTCTATAATATCTATACACAAGTGTCCACTACAGTGTGCACCATGAACTCTTAGACTAGATTAACGGTACAGTGAAGAACTTGAACATTCACCTGAACAGATTCCTGAGTTGAATCTGATCAAGATTTGGTTCTAGGAACCTTGTTAACTCAGACAACTCTCATCATGCATCCTACTCTTTCATATTGTTCTATCCTCCATCTTGCACCATCTTGTCCTTTTCCAACCTCATTCCGTTCATCTCCATCTCCTTCTTGCTTGAAAATTTTATTGATTTGTTGTTGTAAAGTAATGCCTTAGATTTTCCGTGCATGGCGGACAGTGTTTATGTATCTGTGCTTCTGTCAGAAGCTGAAGCATCTCATCCTACGATGTTAAAAATTTACAGTGAAATGTTTATATGACGGAACCTACAAAATTATCTCGGGAAATCCGTTCTCCGGAGAATCCCAGGATAAATATTTCCACCCGTCCTCACTTTCCAGAACTAGAAAAATGTAAAATTTAAAGTATATTTTATTATTAATAGTTTTATTGAAATTCTAATATATAAAATGGCCGGGGGGAGGTTCAGTTATAAATTTCCTAGAAGTCTTGAAAAAGAAAGTCTGCACAAGCGCGGGAATAGAAACCGAACCCGGCGTAATTTGTTAAAATGAAATTTAATGTTTATTGATTTAGTTTTTCGTAGAAGGGTTTCTGTCAAGTTTTAGTAGCAGGGTTGCTGCAAAAAATGTTTTTTCTCTCCGACCTTAAGATATGTTCTTAGCTTGGGGAATACGGTTGTGGTTTTGGTTCTTGGCTTTCAAGAGATGGTTCGGTAGATCATATTTCATGGTTTTCCTCTTCTCTTGCTCTTCTCCGTTATTCCCTCTAGGAACAGGTTTTCTGTCGATTTAAAAATATTTGTGTGGATGGTTTTTAGATTGAACGCGCTCAAATCCTCCAAACCAGCGTCATTGTTTAGCACTCCCACACTTTGTTCTATGTTGATTTAAATAGTTATATTTGTGATGAAGAGATTTCATGTATAATTAATTAGTGCTGATATGTCATGATTTTACGGAGATTCAATCTGTTGAGTAGAGAAGGAAAATATAAATTTTATCTGATCCTGAGGGAAATAGTTTTTTTTTCTAGAGATTCAAAACCGGGTGCTTTCTAACTTCGATCCTTCTCACTCAACAGATTCAACCTTCTTCTCTTTTTAGTGTGATAAAACCGTCCTAGGTCTAGTCCAATATGTCCTCTGAAGATTAATCAGGTCCAAGTACTCCATCCTATCTAAAACCAAAGGGTTGAAACCTGGATTTTTCAAGTGTTGTCACGTGATATATTCGACCGTTTTCTCCCTTGTTTATCCTGCAGTAGTTGGTATAAGACCTTTTTTCCTTGTTCTTTTGTATATGTAAATAAGGAGGACTTAAAATGTCGGGTTGGACAATGGCGAACGAAAAGATAATTTCTAAGAGACAGGGTTCCATGGTCCAAACCTACTCCGGGTTAATCTCTGAATTGTAAATACATGGTGATGGGAATCCCAGACCAGGGATGGAGTACACGGACCCACTGTGATATAAATATATATAGGTATTGGACTAGCTCTAGGTGGTGGAATGAGTACAGTCAGAAAGATGTTTATTTTTACTACAGAGGATTCTATCAATATTATTTGTTATGAAAGAAATGAAAGTATACACCAGTGAATATATAGTTTATTAGAATAAAGCAATGTTATTTTCATAAAATCTGTTTATAATTATTTATTCTTTCACAGGTTTATGTACGCATTGTTGGCCCATCCCTTATTATTTTTTTTTATCATTTTGATATGTATTGAACTTTGGCTATCTATTTGAAGTTTGATTTTATTATCCTTTATTTGTAAAGCTTTGTTTATTTCTTTTTTCTTTACTTAATTTATAGAAACTGCGACTTAATATTAGGTTAACATACTTTAAAAGAGGGCATGCCTAATACACAACGGTACCATTAAAACCTTTTGTCTGTTCTTCTTTCTACAAAATAATTACTTTTAGTCGCGGTTTCACTTAAAAATTTATTTGCGAAATTTTTGCTTTACAAACAATAACGAGGAATTTGTGAGAAATGAACACTTGAAGCTAGAAGAATGATAACTTCTGCATAACCTAGAAGTCTCTTTAGAAAAAAAGAAAATTGGGTAATTTCCTAGAGAACGATTTCTTGACCTTCTCGGACAAAATAGTATTTTGTTATCATGAACTTTCCTTCTTTATTAATTACATTCTTGCACCAAATTTTTACGCAATTCGCTATTTTGCGCGTAATTCTCCGATGCTAAACTGTAAAACTTGTGGTCTAGGTCTTGCGACACTTTAATCAACCCTGTCTTAATAATGTGCATTGTAGAAATGCTTCCCTTTATTATGATGAAACCTCATAATTTTCTTTTAATATTTGAATTAATTAGTAATTACTTATGAAAAGTACAGTACAGTATTAAATGGATAGATCGACCTTAGAATTATTCTTCGTCATCAGTGATACTACTTTACATACACTCCCAGTTTCTTAATTTGAATAAAGAAGCTGGCAAATTACGTTTCAAAGAATTGATAAGAAATTGCCTCGTTTTAAACTAACTATTAAAAATTACCTAGAAATGATCATCCTTAAGTCTGAATGCTGTGTCTAATGACTAAAAAGAAAAAACAGACTTTTTCCCCTATTTTGCCCGATTAAAATCCCTCGTTATATTGCTAGAGATGAACAACTGTTTCCTCATTAATATATAAATATTTAAATTTTGTAATCTGAAAGAATCGAGATTTAGTGTTCTGCAAAGCTAGATTTTTTATATTTTTTTTATAGATTTCACTGCAGTACAGGGGGTTCTTTTTACTTTGGGAAGGATGGAGATGACTATAATGAAATGAAGGAATTATTACTAACAGGGTGAAGAAAAAACGAAGGTCTTCTGAGCTTTCCAAATTGCGGCCAACCTTCTTTCTAAACCTTATACTGATTCCGATTCAGGAAATTTTGTTTTATTAAATATATTGAATTTGGAAATTGTATTTTTTTTTTAAATAGAAATTGGAAATTGAGCTTAATACCTTGGGCAATTTAGAAATTGCAAGAAAATTATGACAAGAAGTTCACAATCGATAAACACAGTCCTCCCAAATCATAATTTACTTCATAGAAATGATCAGGGGTCAAGACATAGCAGTTTGGAATTAAGACTAGTGCTTTAATAGAGACTAGGTGTTGCAAATCCAAAAAACCGTCCCTGCTAAACATTTTCAAAATGACTACATGAAAAGACTATTTTTATTCTTTCCTGACCAAACCTCTATTCTAAAGCCATCGTTAGTATAAAAATTTGAATTTTAAGAGGGGTCGCCGAATTTAGATTTTTCAATTTGAGGCTTCCTTTTTGTTTAAGATTGTTGATCTCTTTTTAAAGAACCATGTCGTAATTCCGATTGATCTACGTTCAACAAAGAAACAAAACAAAATAAAAATTCTTTATTTTCTAATGAACTAAATAAAAATATACATTTTCTTTCTCCGTTTTTCTAACTAACTCATGTTATGTTTTTTTCTGAAGTATATATATATAATATGAAATGAAACTATGCCAGAGGCAGGGTGGAATTTTGATACTGAGAAGAAAACCAAGAATTTTTTTTCTTCTAAGTTTTGACCCAAAGATTGTTATGTTTCTAAAAGAAAAAAAAATATTTTTTTTGTCCTAAGAAAGCATTTTTGTATAATTTATAGCCATACCATGCTTAAAATAATAGAAGTCAAAGTATATATCATGTTTGAACAGCCATTAAGGTCAAAATAAAAGCACCTAAAAAGCGTCGCGAAATATGAGACAATTTTTTAAAGACATTTAGAAGATCATAGAAAAACAGCCTTTTTGTCGTTTTTACCTAGTTCTGAGCCACTGAGCACGCATCGCTTCTCAGTTTCTCCTATCATTCATCCTTGCTTACTGATAAGTTCAACCCCCTGAGGCCGTTCCTTCCATAAACTACATTGGTCGACAACTTGACGTCTCCTATATTGGTCGTCAAATGTACGGAGAAATATCTATCTATCAGATAAGAATTTAGCACGAGACATCTAGCGGCCAACATATCGTCCCCCAAAGTACGTAAAATACATCACTTTCTATGGAGAGAATGGGCTCTGGGGAACGCAGGACACTCCAGCTAGTGTTAAATATTTTAAAGACATCTAAATACATAATCTGCGCCTGCTTGTCTGTTAGTTAGTCGAGCCTATAATTTATGAGGCAACTCACATGACCTCGGGGAAGTTTTATGGCTGGTAGAAGTTGACAGATTTAGCCCGGAAAAATGTCGTAATTTATTATTTTTGGAAATGCACTAATATGAATAAACAGAAAAATCCTAGTACTAGTAATTTCCACACAAAAAATATTCGTATGTCAAATAGGATTTAAAAGTCGTCCCAAATAATTCCCATGTTTATTGGGATACTCTTTATACTGTAATAGTATAAATATATAAAGTTAAATTTACTCAACCATAATTATTCATGCATTGACGAATATTCACATTTACTAAAAGTAGATTTACATTTTATAATGTCAAAATATTTTACTTAATACAAACATATTTTAATCAAACTTTTGCTCAGTTCCTTGCATTCCTTGCATTTATTACTAATACTTAGAGGTACATGTACTTGAGTACATGTCAGATACGGTGTTTATTTAATTGGATTCATACATGGTACACCTTTGAAATGATATAAAATTTGTCTATCTTTATATAAAGCTGCAATAGTTCTGCACAAGTTTAATTTTTGAAATTTAGACAAACAAAAAAAAGAAGTTTTAATCTCAATTCAAGTTAACTTTTTAAGACAAATTGTTTATGTATTATTAAAAACATTTTTGTCATGTTGAGATTTTTCGAACCAGAGATAAGAGAGTTACAGAGATCGATTATCAGCTAAAATATACGATATTTTCCACAGCATGTTCTATTGTGTACAATTGTGTACAGACACGTCCAATCAGCAAACATCTGTATTCAGGGATATTTGAGGATACTTTGGATACAAAACACAAAATCTTCAAAAAAAGACTGAATTTATAAATTTTATGTTTTATGTTTAAAATTGGCGTATTTCTTTAAAAGTTGTAGAACTTAACCCCTGAATGCAACAAGTGGCCGTGAGATGACGTCAGTCAAAAAACATTACAAGGAACCGTAGCATGGCGTGCTGGGACACTGTAGGCCTGCTCGGCCTATCCAGGTAGAGTGTATGAGCAGTCTGAGTAGTCTGTGTTTTGAACAAACGTCTTTTGGTGTATGTAAAAGCCAATTATTTGTTATTTGAGGTAAGAATGCTTGGAAGTGGATTAATAGTAGCGGAGGCAGACGTAGTGTGAGTCACAAAGATAATTTTGATTTTGCGGGTCATTCTGTGAATCAGGAGGCTCCGGAGGTCAGTTCGCGGGGCTCATGGTTGCGCTGCACTCCATCCCTAATCTCTCTCCACTGCTTTAGCTGTGTAAAGTACACATGTGGGGAGGGTAAAAGAGGGGGTTACAGCAAATGGGGGGGGGAGTGTTGGGGATGTATAATCTAGTATTAACTCTTTTTTTGTTGGATACATCTTTTAGAAGATTACTTGATTGCTTGTATTTAATATGACATTAATTTTCAAGGTACTAATGAAAGGAAAGTTATTTCAGAGTTGTACGCATTTTTGTACTGTAGTGTACTGTCTTTGGGCGGAAAGGTAAACACAAGACGGATGTCACAGCCTGACATCGAATCCATTTTCACAAAAATAATCTATGAAATATTCTAGTCATTATGTGAATTTTCAAAATTATCCAAATTAAATGCTATTAAATCTTCCTGGATACAAGACGAACACTGTTGCATCTATTCTTGTTTACAAATTCCACCCAGAGAGAACTGCTTTCAATATGTACGCAGAGTATACGCGACTGCAATTAATTTTCCTTGCATTAGTACCTTGTTAATTCTTAGGTTTTTACACCCATCGTTTTATCCTGGTCAATGATCATAGTCATATCAAATAACAAATCTAAGAATTTGCTATTCAAGTTTTACGAACATGTTTAAATTCAAAAAATTTTCCCTTTGATTAAGATATTTGTTTTGGTTGATAACAAATTTCTTTAAAGTTCTATTTCAATGGGTCAAGTTGTCAAAAGAATATTTTGCTAAGATATGCGGGAACGTATTTTTGATAACTATAAAAAATGGAGTTGTTAATGTTTTAAGTAATTTTAAATGCAAAATGTATCTTTTCCTTTTTTAATGTTGATATTTACATATAAAAAATGCGTATCTTATTACACATATTACACGTATTTCCTTTAACTTCTTGCTATATAATATGAAGATATGTTGAAGAAGGAGGGAATCAGGATATGATATGATTCGTCACGGTTGGGTGTACATGGGGAGGGGAGGGGGGATTGTTGCTTCTGAATAGATGCATATTGCATATTCTTATTTATGCCAACGGAACTTCATTTCAAAAGTTTTATTGTATAAACTATATTTCAAGAATTATTTGCAGAATTTAAAAATAAAAATATTTTTATATACACATAAAGTATATATTGGGGGAAATATTGAACATTTCCTTATCCTAAGAAATGTGGAGTGTAGAGAGTGTGGAACAGTATTTTAATTGTAAATCCATCTTATGTTTTAAAATTATAATGAAAAAGTAGACT